CGCGTCGACCCGAGACCTTGAAGATTGACATCTCAAAGTATAGGGGAGTCGAAGAGGACTCCCTCTTTAGATTTTTCGTCGAATTGGATGACGCCATAAGGGCGCGTCGCATCGACGACGGCGATATGCAAGTTGCATTTGCCCAGTCAAATCTGGCAGGACGTGCCAAGACTTGGGCACTGGGGCTCAAGTTGCACGACCCGTATGCGTTTGGGCCGTTGGAAGTCTTCAAGTCGCGGCCCCGACAAACGTTTGAACCGCCTAGAGCTGAGTTCAGAGCTCGAACTGAACTCTTGAAGCTCAAACAGGGTAAGCGTGATGTGCACGCTTACGCTCAACATATACGACATCTTACGAGTTGTATAAGTTACAATCCGGTGGATGAACACACGTTGGTTTCGGTGTTCATGCAGGGTCTTGTGGATGGTCCCGTCAAGACTCACCTGTTCCGACTTGAACTAGATTCACTAGAACAAGCCATTACCATTGTGGAACAGGAAGACTTCAGTCTGAGACAGGCTCGCGCCAGCTCGACATCACATCGTCAACCGAGACGATATGAAAACGGAGGTCCAGAGCCGATGGAACTCTATTATGTAGAAAGCGAGAAGGCTCGCTCTACAGGCTACAAGAAGTTGCAGAGATGCAACAGATGTCAGAAGACAGGACACTACGCTTACGAGTGTAGTGCCCCTCGTCCAGTGTCTCGCGACACTGGGCATAGTGACCGTCCACCCATGAGAAAGGGGCAGGGACGCGGATCCGCTGTTGGTGCAAAGACGCAACAACGCGATGGACCGTCAAAAAACGGACAGGATCAGTAGGTGCGGAGCACCCTACTGGTCCAGCAACGTCAAGAGAATTTGCGGGCCTCTTGACGAAGGTTGCTCCCAACACACAAACGTTGTACGTTGCTGCTCTAGGTAATGAGATCTCACTCATTACCTTGAAACTCGAAGTGACGAATAAGTTGTCCCTTCGAGCTCTAGTCGATTGTGGGGCGTCTAACAATTTTGTGCGACGCCAATCGCTAGAAGATGGTCACTTCAAGTTTAGTGAATGTGACACACCTCCTACGAGGATGACGGTACGTCTTGCGACAGGCGCATCCGTAACCGTCATGAAGCGTACAGTGAAGATTCACTATACGCTAGAAGATACCCAATATGACGATGACTTTATCGTATTGGATTTGGATGACAAATTTGATGTCATCCTTGGAATACCGTGGCTCAGAAGGTACGAACCACGGGTAAACTGGCAACATCGGACAGTAACGATGCCTGCCGCTTGTTCATCAGATGGCCATCTGATGAACATTTTGGAGCGTCCACAAGCGTGTGGATGTACTACGAGTGAGTGCGATGGCCTCACTTGTGGTACGGTCGTTAGTACGACTGCACAAAACCTTAGTGTACCAAACAGTTGCACTTCGGAGCAAGATTCCGGCGGCTGTGAGGGAAACACAGGCTGCGCCGAAGGTCCACCACTCGAATAGGTCGAGTGGACCGGGACAAATATGTATCCCTAGCAGGGAACATCTAGAAGAGAAACAATCGATCGCTCAGGTTAAGCGAAACGATAATCCTAGATCGACTGGAGAGTCTTTCGTAGAGGATCTCGCTGTGGTCGCGCAATCACAGCCAGAGGAAGTAAAGGGAATAAGTCCCGATATTACAAATACGACGGAAATAAGTTCCACGAAACCCGCGAGAATAAGTCCCCGGGAAGCCGAAGGAATAAGGCCTTCGAAGCCTGAGGGAATAAGTCCCCAGGAAATGACAGAGACAGTGAATGTCTTGGTGAATGACGGATCAAGTGTAGGCGCTTATACACTTGATATGATTGCGCCTCCGAAGTTGACTTCGGAGATCACTCAGTTGCCAACGCTCGAACACAAAAGGTTCTCGCGTGATCTGCGTAGTGGCAAAGTCAAGCAGATCTGCGTACTCGTCGCTGACGACGAGTGCGTAGCCGACATAAGATCAGCAACAGTGTTTACTGAGAACGAGAGAGTTCTCAGTAGTTCATCTATGGACGAGAGTGTCCTAGATGAAAAGACACGAATTGAGCGATATGACTCCAAATCATGGGAATCGCTCAAGACAAATCCTCTCGATGAAGATTTGGTTGAATTCAAGGATGTATTCCCTGAAACTGTTCCGTGCGAACTACCGAAGGATAAAGGTATTCGACACGAGGTCGAGCTTAAACCAGGCTCGAAGTACTGTGTCATGAAGCAGTGGCCACTGCCTCGTGAACAAGTACTTGCGATCGACAAGTTCTTTGCCGATCGTTTAGCTGCGGGCCACGTGAGGGAATCAACTTCCCCACATAGCTCTCCGACCTTCTGTGTGCGAACAGCAACAGGAGGGTGGTGGATAGTGCATGCATTTAAAAAGTTGAATGCTGCAACGGTACCGGCTCAGACGCCGATACCGAGGAAGGACGTAATCATTGATGGTATGTCAAAGAGTACCATCTTTTCGTCCATGGATTTGATGGATGGCTTCTATCAAATCCTTATGCGTGAACGGGATATACCCTATACCGCAGTTAGCACGCCTAGCGGCATGCTCTGGGAATGGCTAGTAATGCCACAAGAGCTCAGTAATGCCCCTGCCACGTTCAACAGATGTGTATCACATCTGTTGAGACCATTACGAGAATTCGCGCCGAGTTATTTTGATGACGTATTCATCCATAGTCGGGATATGGATGGAAAGTCGGACGTTGAGGTTCACAGGTACCACGTCCGACAAGTTCTTACAATCATGCGAAAGCATCAATTGTATGCAAACCTCAAGAAGTGTATATTTGCCGCAAGCGAAATACCACTTCTTGGGTGCATCTTTGGTAAGAGCGGTGTACGTCCTGATCCCGAAAAGATCAAGGCGATCACCGACTGGCCTGTGCCGGTCGATGTCAAAGGTCTTCGAAAATTCCTTGGGCTAGCGGCGTATTTGCATAAGTATTCACGCACTTACGCCGAGATGACTGTGCACCTCTCTCATTTGTTGAAAAAGAACGAGAGGTGGGTATGGAACGCTGAATGTCAGCGTTCCTTTGATGGTATCAAGCAGAGCTTGATACAATCCTCAGTACTAGCAATAGCCGATCAGGACAGGCCATTTCATGTGGTCTGTGATGCCAGCGATTTCGCAATCGGCTGTGTATTAATGCAGTACGATCTTGAAGGCGTTGAACGCGTCGTCTGCTATCAGTCGCGTCAGCTGCAACCAGCTGAGCAGAATTATCCAGTGCACGACAAGGAACTCCTTGCCATGAAGTATGCACTCGCGAAGTTCATAGTCTATCTCTTAGGAGATAGACCCTTCGTTCTTTACACTGACCATGCGTCATTACGCACAGCCCGCACCTTTCACAAATGATGGCGCGGTGGTTGTCATTCTTTGCGGAATGCAACTTTACGGTCGATTACAAACCAGGACGACTCAATGTCGTCGCTGATGCACTCTCACGTCGTCCCGACTTTGAAACAGTCGCGAAACCCAACAGTGAGACAGTCACTGCTGCGGTTATGACGTCCTCAGTCCCATCTACAACGTTGTATGATGATGTGAGGCGGGCGTATGCCCAAGATGGTGAGATAGTGAAGTTGTTGGCACATCTCTCACAACCATCTCGAGAATCGTTGAAACGATTGTCGTCTGCGTATCGATCTGCATCAGATCAATACACTACTCGCGACGGTTTACTGTATTATACAGCCATTACTGGTGACACACCACGTGTTGTCATCCCAGATGATACTGATCTGCGTTTGCGGATCATGTTCGAGTATCACGATGCTCCTATAGGGAGGGCATCGTGGCCGAGAGAAGACATATCTCACGGTGAGTCGAGACATTTACTGGCCCCGCCAGTATCAGTTTGTGCGAAAGTATGTTCGCGCATGCGAAGTCTGTCAACGAGTGAAGTCAAGTCCTTCACTGCGTGCACCTTTACAGCCTCTACCGGTTCCGGATGAGTGCTAGAATCCATCTCAATGGATTTCGTCTTCGAGTTACCCAAAGACGTACGCGGGAATACGGGTATTCTCGTATTTGTTGACAGCAAAATGGTACACCTTGTGGATGTACCCGAGTCAATCACAGCAAGTGGCTTTGCTTGTGTCTTTATCGACACCATCTTACGACTTCATGGTTTGCCCCGTGAACTCGTATCAGACAGAGATCCACGATGCACTGCTGATTTCTGGCGCTCCGTGTTCAAATCACTCGGAACGCGCTTGAAGATGTCTACATCTGATCATCCCGAGTCAGATGGTCAGACGGAACGTGCCAATCGTGTCCTTGAAGAGATACTTCGAGGATACGTACACTTCTTGAAGAGTTGGAGTGAGTTCTTGCCAATGGTAGAGTTTACCATTAACAACTCGGTGCATGCGTCCACGACACATACACCGTTTTACGTGACTGGCTTGCGCCATCCGCGTGTACCCACCTTACTAGAGTGTAACTCTGGTTTAAGGGGGGGGACTCGCGCGAGCAAAAACCGAATTGGTTCACGCTCATCACGCTCTGACGAAGAAGTCATTGCGTTTGATGCCGATATCGACAACATCGATATCGAAGAAGATGATGCCAGTGATAGTGCGGAAGCCCTCACTGAATTAAAGATTGATGTTGCTGCAGTGCACTCACAGCGCACTGAAGCTAACGAGTCATCAGATGAGTTCATACTGGCTCGTGAAACGGTAGTCTGTTTTGTGCAAGACTCCATCGCCGAAGCGGTGGATAAGCAAAAGCAAAACGCTGACAATAATGGAAGGGCAAACACTATTTTATTTAATAAAGATGACTTAGTCCTACTGTCTACGGTTAATCTACCAAAGCATGTAGTGCCTAACTTGGGTAGCAGTAAACTTCTACCCAAGTACATCGGCCCATTTCGTGTATCGCATCGCCTAGGCAATGCATACACGATCGAGTTACCACGTAAGATGCGAACGCATCCCACGTTTTACGTTGGTCGGCTTAAGCCGTACCATCTGTACGCTGTTTCTTCCGATGAAGAACGCCCTTGCGTTCAAGCATCTCACAGAGGGCCTTGTGCTTACGATGGTGGATATCGACAAGGGTCTGAAGAGCAGTTATTTCAGCCCGAGACCGGTCAATATCCACACGAGCTACCCTTAGCTCGTCACGAAGAGATGTCAAAGCTCTCTCGTTCTCAAGCTGAGCAAAGGCATACTCAGCTCTATACTTTGAGACAGTGTCCGCCAGTTGAAGACGCCTGTCCCGCTCATGCTCGAGGTCGCCGCGTAACCCTTGCGTTACGCGATCAAAGAAGCTCTCGGGAACACACGGATCTCCACGTTCGTGTGGAGAGCGTCTTCCCTTCTCCTCCACCTCCATTGGAGGACTCTCGCGGTGGCCAGCGCTATCTGGTTGAGCAGCTGTTGAACCACCGCGATGTAAACGGACGTCGGACGAGTTACATCGTCCGGTGGCGCGGTTATTCCCCGTCCTTGGGATACTTGGGAGCCCCGCTCCCAACTGATGATCGACGTACTGGGTCTCGTTGAGCAGTACGACGCGGCACATCCTGTGCCGCAGAAGTACCGACGGAAAAAGTCTTCCCGGCACGGTGATACAGTAATTCAAGGTTGTCAATTCCTTCGTACATCTCACTAGAGATACGTACGCGCCACCACGGGCTGGTAAGGAGGTAAGCCTCCTTAGGTGCGCGCGCAGAGTTGTTCACACAACATGGGCACGAGTCTCCCCAAGAGAGGCAGGGTAACCCACTCTCCTTAGACAGACGATGGAGCTTATAGCGTGCACCTATCAGGGTTCTTTTCTCAAACTTATCACGAGCTTTGATAAGTTTGTCGTTCCAAGCGTCACGACCTACATCCTCAAGGTTATGGATGTAAGCGTTCCACGCTTAAAGCAGTGAGGAACCATCACGTTTGTGATTCCCACTGTACCATCGATGTCTAAAGAAAGCATCGATGAAGAACTCATTCTCAGCGCGGTAGTTTTTCGCGCTGGGGTCAAGGTGATGGATCCTTGACGAATCGAACAATCGTGTTCGATAACGATCACTCGTCGTCGCCGACAAGTGATCCATGACTGATTTAGGAGGCATCCATGCCTTCTTTTCTGGAGCGAGACGCAGCACACTGCGGTCCCGCTCTTCCTGCGATGTGCCGACAGAAGGACTAGCACCTCGTTTCGAAGTGGTGTCCATAGGAGAACCGACACCACAGTGAGCGCCTGAGTCTTGCGATCTCGAGCGCCTTCGCTTTGGCGATGGTTTATCTGATTCGTCAGATGAATTAAAGATGCTACGACGCGTAGAATCATCCATGTCACGCCTGGCAGGCGGCTTGGTATCAACCGCCTTCGATACGGATCCGTCTTCCGTATCAGGAGAGTATGAGACACCGAGCTCATACTCTGTGAAGACATGAGTGTCTTCACGACGAGCGTCTGCATCACCAGTATACACAGACTGAGTCGCTTCAGCAACCGATGACACATCAGTTGCTGCGGTTTCTGCTTCGGCGTCCGCACAGAGACGTGCAGACGCGCTCTCGGCGGCCTTGCTCGCGCATCGCATGGGCTTGTTAACCATGCGATGAGATGTTGGAAAGTGGACGCGGACCAACAAGTGCAAACCCTGTCCCAAATGATTTGGGACGAGTATCCATTTAGTCAATCAGTCACTAAAGTGACTTATGGTTAAGGGGGGGGTGATGTAACGGGGTAGATCGTTACATAACAATTTATAAGAAATTGTTAATAGAATGTAACTATAAGAGTTATATTCTCAGAATATTGTCATAAGGACAAATATTCTGTTGCACTTGCAAGTAGTTCCTGATTGGTTGATATAGGCCATTATATCAACCAACGAAGACGCGCCACGACGGACGCACGCAATGAATGGTGAGCAGATAGTTGATATGCACATTTTCATTCAGACACAGTTAGATGAAGATAAATAGTGATTTATTCACAGACATTAACTATGCTAAATACAGTTCTATTTTTCACTTTAACCAAGTACTCGCTTCTTCTTACCGTCTTCCTCTGCACGTACCAGTGTACGCGAAGTTCCGAGGCACCGCCTTATTCTGTCATCAGAATAAGTAGCTTGTACTGTCACCAGTACAAGCTTCAGGGTGCCCCGTTACACCAGTCGGAAACGGAGGGCCTCCACTTTCATCTTCGTCATCAGAGCAATCAAAACCGATGACTCGATATGTAACGGGGCCCACTTTGTTTGGGTGCCGCAAAACTTCACGTACACTCGTACGTGCAGAGGAAGCTAATCTACGTGAACGACTCGGTCAAGTAAAGGTAAAAAGAGAACTGTATTTAATATAGCTAGGCTATCAGTACAGCTTTAATCTTTATCTAACTATATTAAAGTACGCCGTCGTTTGACGACAACCTGCTCACCACTCATTGCGCGCGTCTAGCAGCGATTGGTGGTAATCTATGGCTGATATGTCTTTTATCAACCAATCTTGAAGCAGTGCATGAACATGTTCCTAAAAGGGATGATGTTCCTTCCATAGTATCCGTCTCGGATAATATTGGTAGAATATTGTCATGCTAGACAGTATTTCTATTGACACCGTTTGGTGTCAATTTCATGTAACGGGCTACCCCGCTACATCACCCCCCTTCAGCCATCAATCACCCGTTGATTAAAAGTAGAATTGATCGGGAACGCGGTGATCAATGTTAGGTCACTCCGGGAAAGGGAAGCACTTGTTGGTCAAATTCTATCTCATTTTCAAATTCATCACACGGTATCAAATTCCCTGCGGTGCGCTGCTCAAGCTATCAGGGAGGCAGCTGCACGCATGCGTGCCGCCCAAGAAATTACTTCTCTAGCCTCAGCAGCAAGAAAACATTCGCCTGCTGTTGCAAGTGAGCAACATGCAGTGCCTGTTGCTACTTTTCCACGTGTTGAGTCACCACGTGCTATAGATGCATCCGCTGCGTCTGCGGCGGATGCTGCGACTCACAATTTGGATGAGCCTAAAACAGAGCTCATCTATTCCGGCGAGTCTAATGCATCGTTCGAGTCGAAGGCGGCGCCTCCTGCCTTCGGATGACCCGGAGCGGACACTGCCAGAGCCAGTCAACGTGGCGGCATCATGCTCAAGATCTTTATATTGAGCGATTCTTCTGACAAATCTGCGCCTCACGCAAGTCCATCTGACACTAGGACGCGTGGTGATGGTTGTGACACACCTATACGTCACCACAAGAGAAGCAGCTCGAGAGATTGAGCTGATACTGGTGTCAGTGCTCATGCTGACACCACACAATCAGTCAGGAACCGCAATGTCCTGCGCCATGCTCCAAAAGCAGAGCATTTTATTCAACTATCCAAGGCGTTAGATTGAGTGACCGGTATGACCAATGAATGGGATCGAATCTCACTGTCTGACTGCAGGAGAAACTGTCCTTTTAAATCCAGCACGAAACCTATCCATGCTGGGGAAGAATTCTTCACCGATGTGTTTTTCAAACAAATTCTTGACCGTTGTGTTTTTCAAACAAATCTTGACCGTTGTGTTTTTAAACATCGGCGGTACAACGACAACGTGGCCAACCGTGGCCGAGACTTTAAGGACTTGGTGTAAGGATGGAATGCCCTCAACCACAACATCGAGTGCATAGGCCGTGAGGCTTGGCTCGCCAAACTTGATGCAGCTCGCATCGGGTTTGAGAAACGCAACCCAGTCGGTGTACAATACAAGTTGCACCGGCTGTCAAGAGAGGCAGGATTACTCTATCTCTCGTGGGGTGATTTGTGTCCAGGTTGCCTGGACAACTCGAACCGTGCCCCTAGGGAGGCCTACCTCCCTAATGATCCCTACTGGAGGGCACGCATCTCTTCTGAGATGGCCGAAGGGATTGATACTTTGCAATCCCTGTACTCGCGTTCGGGGAGGTCGTTTTCTGACGGCCCTTCTTCAAACGCAGCGAGTGGGTCTCGTCGTCCAGCTCGACGAGACCAAGGACATCAACAATCAGCTGGGCGTGAGGCTCCCAGCTGTCCCAGGCCGGTGCAAAAGCCATTCACGTCGCAGTGGTTCAAAATACGCTTCACTAGGAAGCATTGACCACCGCTTGAGTCTGCCAAAGGATGTGGTGGTGGCGGGAACACCTGATCCGGCTCGAGGGTCGGATTTACTTGATGTTCAAGAGCTGAACCGTCTAACGGAACAGTTGCAAGATGACCTGGCCCATGAAAGGTCTCGGCGCAATGAGCTCCATGACCTTGTAAAGGATAATTACAATTCCTTAGCGCACGATCGCTCGAGCGATTGTGCCACGCTTGCTTTCGCACAGATTAAGAACGAACGTTCGACTCGTTCTCTTCGTGACGAGATGGCTGCAGCTCGTCAAGACATCGCTCAACTTCGTGAGCAGGTCGCTTCGCTAGTCGACCAGACTGGCTCGTTGAAATGGGACCACTCGAAGGTGGTCTCGGCCCTCGACCGCGGAGGTGTTCTTCGCGTCTCGAAACAGGCTCGTACTGATAGTACGAGCGGAGACGTCCAACTTAAAACGCAGGATGTGTACGCATCTTACGGGCAGTTTAATCGTGTATGCGTTGCCCATTCGGCGCAACACAAGAAATGGACCAATATACTTGTGTAGTAATTTACTGCCCAAGTTTGACAATGCGTGTTTCGGTAAGTTTACTGTAGACAGTAAAACTAAGTTTCCTTCGTCAAATGAACGAACATTTGCTCTTCCATGTTTGTCTGCGTTTCTTTTCTGTTTTGTCTATTGCATCTACGATATGATCTTGAATGAAGCGGAAAACCGCTTCGCGAGTCAACAGTAATTCCTCTGCTGATTCATCTCTGCCAACAGCAGTGCGCTTCGTGTGCACTGCTGAAAGAACGTTGTCTTTACCAGTGAGGGCGTCATCGTCCTCACTTTGGCAGTCATTGGCGATGCTGAATATTCCAGCATCGTCGTTATCATCATCATCGATGTCGATCGCATCGATCAACATCGGCATCCATCACGTCGACACCATTGTCGACGGGTGATGAGCAAGAACCAGATCGGTTTTCGTTCGAGCGAGTCCACCCCCCCCTGAACTAGAGTCACACTCTAAGAAGGCAGGTAAACGTGGATGGCGTAGGCTATTCACGAAGAATGGTGTATGTGTTGTAGACGCATGCACCTAATTGTGTATGGCGAATTCCGCATTGGCAATAACTCACTCCAACTTTTAAACGAGTGGACATACCCTCAAAGTATCTCTTCGAGGACGCGTTTGACGCGTTCCGTCCGACCATCTGTTTCTGGATGGTCAGAAGTTGACATCTTCAACCGCGTTCCAAGGGAACGGAACACGGATTGCCAATATTCCGCTGTGAAGCGGGGGTCCCTGTCAGACACGAGTTCACGGGATAACCCGTGAAGGCGGAGGATTGTAATAAAACAGACACGAGCACAGCCTGGTCTGTGATCGACTCCGGTGCAGCAACAAGATGTACCATCTTGCTGAATCGATCAACAAAAAACAAAAGAATAACAGTATTCTTGAGACCGTCTTTAAGAAACCGAAAGACGAAGTACAGGCTGCAAGGGTGCACGGGATGAAGGACTAGGCTTCACCCGCAGGCAAACTTCGCAAGCGCGAATGTATTTGCGCACAAAATTATACTGGCGGGGCCAGTAGAAGTCACGACTTACCGTGAGGCAAGTCTTTTCTTCTAACGTGATGCCCACTTGTTGGGGCATCGTGGTATTCATACATGATGCGCAATCGCAAATCATTATGAGCCGGAACGACGACACGAGGTGTGTCGCCGGTGACTGCTGTATAGTACATCAGTCCATCACGAACCGAATACCGTTCGGTTAAAGAGCGGTATTGAGACGACAAGCTTTTCAAAGCTTGACTGCATGGATTGTACACGTAATCCATCAATCGCGGAAGAGACTCATCTTCTGCGTATGCTCTTCGCACGTCGTCGAGCAGATTCGACGACGGAACACTCACTGTTAGTGTTGCTACAGTGGTATCACCCCTACTGTTGTGGTTGAGCAGTCGGCTCGAAATCGGGCCGACGCGAAAGAGCATCAGCGACGACATTAAGTCGCCTTGATCTATACTCGACGGAGAAGTTGTACTTCCCAAAGAGAGACAACCATCTTGCCATTCGTTGCGAGAGGTGTGGACTGTTAACGGCCGTGCGTAACGACGCATGGTCGGTATAAACGATGAAGGGCCTATCTCCTAAGAGATATACCCGAAACATAGCCAGTGCATATTTCATGGCAAAGAGTTCCTTGTCATGCACCGGGGGATTACTCTGAGCTGCTTGCAGCTGACGCGATTGATAACAGACGACGCGCTCACCACCGTCTGAGTCGTACTGCATCAATGCGCAGCCGATTGCAAAATCGCTGGCGTCACAGACCACATGGTATGTTCTGTCCTGATCTGCAATTGCCAACACAGGCGATTGTATCAAGCTTTTCGTGATAAATTTAAAAGAGTGCTGACACTCAGCACTCCATGACCACCTCTCGTTTTTCTTTAGCAGACGAGAGAGATGTACGGTCATCTCGGCGTAGTTGCGCGAAGACTTGTGCAAATAAACCGCCAAGCCAAGGAACTTTCAAAGTCACTTGACGTCAACTGGCACAGGCCACTCGCTAATCACCTTGATCTTTTCCGGATCAGGGCGTACGCCGTTTTTACCCACGATGCAGCCAAGAAGTAGTATTTCGTTCGCTGCGAATAAACACTTCTTGAGGTTCGCGAACAAACTTACGCTCTCGCCTAAGTGTAAGAACCTTCTGGAAGTGGAAATTGTGAATCTCCACGTCCGTCTTTCCATCCATAGCCCGGCTATGGACGAAGACATCGTCAAAGTAACTCGGCGCGAAGTCACGCACCAGTCGCAACAGATTCGTATCACACCTGTTGACCGTTGCAGGGGCTTTACTTAGCCCCTGTGGCATCACTAGCCACCCCCAGATCATACCACTGGGGGTGCTCACTGCTTTGTACGGCATGTCCCGTCCACGCATGCGGATCTGATAGAATCTATCCGTCAGATACATGGACGAAAAGATGGTACTCTTTGACACACCATCGATGACCACGTCTTTCCTCGGTATCGGCGTCTGAGCCGGTACCGTTGCATCATTCAACTTGTTAAATACATGCACTATCCACCACCCTCCTGTTGCTTTTCGCACACAGAAGGTTGGAGAGCTATGTGGGGAAGTTGGTTCCCGCACATGACCATCCGCTAAGCGATCGGCAAAGAACTTGTCGATCGCTGTGACCTGTTCACGAGGCAGTGGCCACTGCTTCATGACACAGTACTTCGAACCGGGTTTCAGTTCGATTTATCGTCGAGTGCCTTTGTCCTGGGGCAGCTCGCATGGAACGGATTCAGGCAATACATCCTTGAATTTAACCAAGTCTTCATCGAGAGGATTTGTCTTCAAAGTCTCCCAAGATTGAGACATTTATCGCTCAATCCGGGTCTTCTTATCGAGGACACTATCGTCCATCGATGAACTACTGAGAACTCTCATATTCTCAGCAAACACTTGTGCCGACCGAATATCGGCGACTTACTCGTCCTCTGTGACGAGTACGCAGATCTACTTGACCTTGTCACTACGCAGATCACGCGAGAACCTTTTGTGTTCGAGCGTTGGCAACTGAGTGATCTCCGAAGTCAACTTCGGAGGCGCAATCAGATCAAGTGTATAAGCGCCTACACTTGATCCGTCATTCACCAAGACATTCACTGTCTCGGTGATTTCCTGGAAAAACACATCCGCAGGTGGTTGGGGATCCACACCCTCAACATAACTCTCTCGGGAGTTATCACTCTCAGGAACGCTGGAACTTTCTTCCAATACGTGTACTGACTGTGGGTGTACTACCACAGTCACGTCCTTTCCGATTGACTATCTTTCAGTCGAGCGGGCTTGCTCTACGATCGACTCTCTGGTAGTTGATCTCGCTTTGACGTATTGTTCATCCTTAACAACACTAATCTCTCTTCTCGGATGCACCCTTCTTGGTATGCATCCGTGTTCCAGTCCACTCGATCTCTTCGAGTGGTGAACCTTCGGCAAAGCCTGTGTCTCTACACAGATGCCGGAAGCTGGTTCCATATTGTAGTGGCCTTCTACACTGTGATCTTGTGCAGTCGTACTAACGACCGTACCACAAGTGAGGCCATCGCACTCACTCTTAGTACATCCACACGCTTGTGGACGCTCCAAGACATTCATCAGATGGCCATCCGATGAACAAACGGCAGGCATCTTCACGGTTCGATGCTGCCAGCTGATCAATGGCTGGTACTTTCTAAGTCATGGCAGACCGAGGATGACATCAATTTTTCAATTAGATCCAGTACGATGAAGTCATCATTGTACTGCCTTCCTTCTAGCGTGTAGTGGATTCTCCCTACACGTTTGTCCTCCGTTACGGACGCACCTGCAGCAAGGAACACCTTCATCCTCGTTGGAGGTAACCTCGCTCAACAAAGTTAAGCCTACTATCTTCTAGCGACTGGCGTCGAATAAAACTGTTCGACGCCCCAAAGTCGACTAGGGCGCGAAGTGACATTCCACTTGTCACTTTGATCTTCGAATGGATGAGGGACACCCCATCACTAGGGGCAGTAACACACAGCGACTGTGTGTTGGGAGCAATCTTCGTCAAGAGTCCTGCAAATTCTCTTGACGTTGCTGGACCAGCAGGGAGAACAGCCCCTACTGACCCTGAGCGTTTCTTGACGGTCCGACTTGCTGTAGCGGCTTAGCGACATGTTCGGACCCGCGCCTTGGACCTTTCCTCAGCCAACGGTGGTCATCACGTCCTGTCTTGGGACTTGTTGCGGTGCTTGTGAAACTACACTCATGAGAGTAGTGTATAATCTTCTGACAGCGATGGCATCTTGCCTCTCGATTGTGACTCAGAGAGCGAGAGTTCTCGCTCCCGATGTAACAGAGATAAACTGGTTCGGGACCTCCTGTATCCTGTCGCCTCGTCGGACGATAGTTTGACGAGTTAGCCTGAGAATATCTTAGGCTGGAGTCTTCTTGTTCCTCACACGCTATTGCCCTTTCCAGCGTATGGAAGACCTCTCGGAACATGTAGGTCTTCACCGGCCCATCTACAAGGCCGTAGATGAACACGTTGATGAGTGTATGCTCATCAACAGGGTCTCCGTGACGCTACTCGCAAGGTATCGCATGTGTTGTGCGTAAGCGTGCACGTCACAATTACCTTGCTTGAGCCTTAAGAGTGCAGAGCGTGCTCTAAACTCGGCTCTCGGCGGCTCAACGTCTCTTTGAGCCGAAACTTCAAGATATGTAACGACTTAAACACGTTTAGGTCGTGAAGCTTGAGCCCTTAGGCCCAATTTATTGCTCGTCCTGTCAAATTAGACAGGGCGAAGGTGACTTGAATCTCGTCACCCTCGATGTGACGAACCCTGATGGCGCCATCTAACTCGATGAACCATCTCAAAAGATAATCTGCATTGGTTCCCTCGTACCTTGAGATATCGATCTTCAAGGTTTCGGGTTGACGCAGATGCGTCGTCCCGCCCATCGACTGATGAGAGCCTTGCTGCTGTAGCAAGGCTATCTTCTGTCTTTTGACGGTAAGTTCCCCTTGTAGGAAGTTGTTGACAGTAGCATGTTGCTGGTCTCTGCTTTGAGACTCCAACGTGCCACTGATGGCGGGTTCGCCCATGAGCACACTCAAGCGGCCTACTAAATCCCATTCTTAGTCACTAATATGGGAGTAGCCTTCACGTGTGACGTGAAAGCTGTCGTCTTCTACGTCCAACATGTTCATGTTGGACGGACACTAAGTAGTCGTTAGACGGACTACGAAGTGCTACCAGGTTTAACGGGGCACCCTTTGTTTGGGGTGCCGTGAAACTTCACGTACACTAGTACAAGCAGAGGAAGCTAATCTACTCAAACAACTAGTTTGAGTATAGGATAAAAGAGAACTGTATCTAATACAGTAAAGCTATCAATGCGACTTCAATCCTTATCTAACTAAATTCAACTACGTCGTCGTTTGACGACAACCTACTCACCACTCATTGCGCGCGTCTATCAGCGATTGCTGGTAATCTATGGCTGAAATGTCTTTTATCAACCAATCTTTGAGCAGCACGTGAATATTATCTTAAAAGGGATGGAATTCCTTCTATAGTATCCATCTCGGATAAAATTGGTAAAATATCGTCATGCTGGACCGTATTCCTATTGACACCGTTTGGTGTCAATTTCATGTAACGGGCTACCCCGTTACACAATATGCTCATATAGAAATGATGCAACTCGTTACTATCAGACCGGATGTAGCGGGTTGTTTGCGTACCAGGATATGCCTCACCTTCTCACTCACGATGCAACTCATTGCAACCTTGCAACAAGAAGTTCGCGGTTTAAGAGCACAAGCCCAAGCATCGAAACACATATAAAAAGTGTTGGCTCGTTACATGAAATTGACACCAAACGGTGTCAATAGAAATACTGTCTAGCATGACGATATTCTACCAATATTATCCGAGACGGATACTATGGAAGGAACATCATCCCTTTTAGGAACATGTTCATGCACTGCTTCAAGATTGGTTGATAAAAGACATATCAGCCATAGATTACCACCAATCGCTGCTAGACGCGCGCAATGAGTGGTGAGCAGGTTGTCGTCAAACGACGGCGTACTTTAATATAATTAGATAAAGATTAAAGCTGTACTGATAGCCTAGCTATATTAAATACAGTTCTCTTTTTACCTTTACTTGACCGAGTCGTTCACGTAGATTAGCTTCCTCTGCACGTACGAGTGTACGTGAAGTTTTGCGGCACCCAAACAAAGTGGGCCCCGTTACATATCGAGTCATCGGTTTTGATTGCTCTGATGACGAAGATGAAAGTGGAGGCCCTCCGTTTCCGACTGGTGTAACGGGGCACCCTGAAGCTTGTACTGGTGACAGTACAAGCTACTTATTCTGATGACAGAATAAGGCGGTGCCTCGGAACTTCGCGTACACTGGTACGTGCAGAGGAAGACGGTAAGAAGAAGCGAGTACTTGGTTAAAGTGAAAAATAGAACTGTATTTAGCATAGTTAATGTCTGTGAATAAATCACTATTTATCTTCATCTAACTGTGTCTGAATGAAAATGTGCATATCAACTATCTGCTCACCATTCATTGCGTGCGTCCGTCGTGGCGCGTCTTCGTTGATTGATATAATGGCCTATATCAACCAATCAGGAACTACTCGTAAGTGCTGCAGAATATTTGTCCTTATGACAATATTCTGAGAACATAACTCTTACAGTTACATTCCATTAACACTTGGGACAGGGTTTGCACTTGTTGGTCCGAGTCCACTTTTTAACATTTCATCGCACGGTTAACAAGCTCATGCGATGCGCGAGCAAGGCCGCCGAGAGCGCGTCTGCACGTCTCTGTGCGGACGCCGAAGCAGAAACCGCAGCAACTGATGTGTCATCGGTTGCTGAAGCGACTCAGTCTGTGTATACTGGTGATGCAGACGCTCGTCGTGAAGACACTCATGTCTTCACAGAGTATGAGCTCGGTGTCTCATACTCTCCTGATACGGAAGACGGATCCGTATCGAAGGCGGTTGATACCAAGCCGCCTGCCAGGCGTGACATGGATGATTCTACGCGTCGTAGCATCTTTAATTCATCTGACGAATCAGATAAACCATCGCCAAAGCGAAGGCGCTCGAGATCGCAAGACTCGGGCGCTCACTGTGGTGTCGGTTCTCCTATGGACACCACTTCGCAACGAGGTGCCAGTACTTTTGTCGGCACATCGCAGGAAGAGCGGGACCGCAATGTCTTGCGTCTCGCTTCAGAAAAGAAGGCATGGATGCCTCCTAAATCAGTCATGGATCACTTGTCGGCGACGACGAGTGATCGTTATCGAACACGATTGTTCGATTCATCAAGGATCCATCACCTTGACCCCAGTGCGAAAGACTATCGCACTGAGAATGAGTTCTTCATCGATGCTTTCTTTAGACATCGATGGTACAGTGGGAATCACAAACGTGATGGTTCCTCACTGCTTTAAGCGTGGAACGCTTACATCCATAACCTTGAGGATGTAGGTCGTGACGCTTGGAACGACAAACTTATCAAAGCTCGTGATAAGTTTGAGAAAAGAACCCTGATAGGTGCACGCTATAAGCTCCATCGTCTGTCTAAGGAGAGTGGGTTACCCTGCCTCTCTTGGGGAGACTCGTGCCCATGTTGTGTGAACAACTCTGCGCGCGCACCTAAGGAGGCTTACCACCTTACTAGCCCGTGGTGGCGCGTACGTATCTCTAGTGAGATGTACGAAGGAATTGACAACCTTGAATTACTGTATCACCGTGCCGGGAAGACTTTTTCCGTCGATACTTCTGCGGCACAGGATGTGCCGCGTCGTACTGCTCAACGAGACCCAGTACGTCGATCATCAGTTGGTAGCGGGGCTCCCAAGAATCCCAGGACGGGGGATAGCCGCGCCACCGGACGATGTAACTCGTCCGACGTCCGTTTACATCGCGGTGGTTCAACAGCTGCTCAACTAGATAGCGCTGGCCACCGCGGGAGTCCTCCAATGGAGGTGGAGGAGGAGGGAAGACGCTGTCCACACGATCGTGGGGATCCGTGTGTTCCCGAGAGCTTCTTTGATCGCGTAACGCAAGGGTTACGCGACGACCTCGAGCATGAGCGGAATAGGCGTCTCCAAATGGCGGACACTGCCTCGAAGCATCGAGCTGAGTTTGCCTTTGCTCAGCTTGAGAACGAGAGAGCTTTGACATCTCTTCGTGACGAGCTAAGGGTAGCTCGTGTGGATATTGACCGGTCTCGGGCTGAAATAACTGCTCTTCAGACCCTTGTCGATATCCACCATCGGAAGCACAAGGCCCTCTGTGAGATGCTTGAACGCAAGGGCGTTCTTCATCGGAAGAAACAGCGTACAGATGGTACGGCTTAAGCCGACCAACGTAAAACGTGGGATGCGTTCGCATCTTACGTGGTAGTTCGATCGTGTATGCATTGCCTAGGCGATGCGATACACGAAATGGGCCGATGTACTTGGGTAGTAGTTTACTGCTACCCAAGTTAGTCACTACATGCTTTGGTAGATTAACCGTAGACAGTAGGACTAAGTCATCTTTGTTAAATAAAAGAGTGTTTGCCCTTCCATTATTGTCAGCGTTTTGCTTTTGCTTATCCACCGCTTCGGCGATGGAGTCTTGCACAAAACGGACTACCGTTTCACGAGCCAGTATGAACTCATCTGATGACTCGTTAGCTTCAGTGCGCTGTGAGTGCACTGCAGCAACATCAATCTTTTCTTCAGTGAGGGCTTCCGCACTCTCACTGGGATCATCTTCTTCAGTGAGGGTTCCGCATCTCACTGTCATCATCTTCTTCGATATCGATGTTGTCGATATCGGCATCAAACGCAATGACTTCTTCGTCAGAGCCTGATGAGCGTGAACCAAATCGGTTTTTGCTCGCGCGAGTCCCCCCCTTAAACCAGAGTTACACTCTAGTAAGGTGGGTACACGCGGATGGCGCAAGCCAGTCACGTAAAACGGTGTATGTGTCGTGGACGCATGCACCGAGTTGTTAATGGTAAACTCTACCATTGGCAAGAACTCACTCCAACTCTTCAAGAAGTGTACGTATCCTCGAAGTATCTCTTCAAGGACACGATTGGCACGTTCCGTCTGACCATCTGACTCTGGATGATCAGATGTAGACATCTTCAAGCGCGTTCCGAGTGATTTGAACACGGAGCGCCAGAAATCAGCAGTGCAGCGTGGATCTCTGTCTGATACGAGTTCACGGGGCAAACCATGAAGTCGTAAGATGGTGTCGATAAAGACACAAGCAAAGCCACTTGCTGTGATTGACTCGGGTACATCCACAAGGTGTACCATTTTGCTGTCAACAAATACGAGAATACCCGTATTCCCGCGTACGTCTTTGGGTAACTCGAAGACGAAATCCATTGAGATGGATTCCCAGCACTCATCCGGAACCGGTAGAGGCTGTAAAGGTGCACGCAGTGAAGGACTTGACTTCACTCGTTGACAGACTTCGCATGCGCGAACATACTTTCGCACAAACTGATACTGGCGGGGCCAGTAAATGTCTCGACTCACCGTGAGATATGTCTTCTCTCGGCCACGATGTCCTCCTATAGGAGCATCGTGATACTCGAACATGATCCGCAAACGCAGATCAGTATCATCTGGGATGACAACACGTGGTTTGTCACTAGTAATGGCTGTATAATACAGTAAACCGTTACGAGCAGTGTATTGATCTGATGCAGATCGATACGCAGACGACAATCGTTTCAACGATTCTCGAGATGGCTGGGAGAGATGTGACAACAACTTCACTATCTCACCATCTTGGGCGTATGCCCGCCTCACATCATCATACAACGTTGTAGATGGGACTGAGGACGTCATAACCGCAACAGTGACTGTCTCACTGTTGGGTTTCGCGACTGTTTCAAAGTCGGGACGACGTGAGAGTGCATCAGCGACGACATTAAGTCGTCCTGGTTTGTACTCGACCGTAAAGTTGTATTCCGCAAAGAATGACAACCACCGCGCCATTCGTTGTGAAAGGTGCGGGCTGTTTACTGCCGTGCGTGACGACGCATGGTCAGTGTGAACAATGAAGGGTCTATCTCCTAATAGATAGACTCTGAACTTCGCGAGTGCGTACTTCATGGCAAGGAGTTCCTTGTCATAAACTGGATAGTTCCGCTCAGCTGGCTGCAGCTGACGCGACTGATAGCGGACGACGCGTTCAACGCCTTCAAGGTCGTACTGCATTAATGCACAGCCGATTGCGAAATGGCTGGCATCACAGACCACCTGAAAGGGCCTGTCCTGATCGGCAATTGATAGGACTGGGGATTGTATCAAGCTTTTTTTGATACCCTCAAAGGAACGCTGACATTCAGCGTTCCATACCCACCTCTCGTTTTCTTTTCAATAAACGAGAGAGGTGCACAGTCATCTCGGCGTAATTGCGTGAATACTTGTGCAAATACGCCGCTAGGCCAAGGAATTTTTTTTTCGAAGACCTTTGACATCAACCGGCACCGGCCAGTCGGTGATCGCCTTGATCTTTTCGGGATCAGGACGTACACCGTTCTTACCAACGATGCACCCAAGAAGTGGTATTTCGCTTGCTGCAAATATACACTTCTTGAGGTTAGCATACAATTGATGCTTTCGCATGATTGTAAGAACCTGTCGGACGTGGTATCTGCGAACATCAACGTCCGACTTTCCATCCATAGCCCGACTATGGATGAATACGTCATCGAAATAACTCGGCGCAAATTCTCGTACTGGTCTCAACAGATGTGATACACATCTGTTGAACGTGGCAGGGGCATTACTGAGCCTTTGTGGCGTTACCAGCCATTCCCAGAGCATGCCGCTAGGCGTGCTCACTGCGGTATAGGGTATTTCCCGTTCTCGCATAAGGATTTGATAGAAGCCATCCATCAAATCCATGGACGAAAAGATGGTACTCTTTGATACACCATCAATGATTACATCCTTCCTCGGTATCGGCGTCTGGGCCGGTACCGTTGCAGCATTCAACTTGTTAAATGCATGCACTATCCACCACCCTCCTGTTGCTTTTCGCACACAGAAGGTCGGAGAGCTATGTGGGGAAGTTGATTCCCTCACGTGGCCCGCAGCTAAACGATCGGCAAAGAACTTGTCGATCGCAAGTACTTGTTCACGAGGCAGTGGCCACTGCTTTGTGACACAGTACTTCAAGCCTGGTTTAAGCTCGACTTCGTGTCGAATACCTTTATCCTTCGGTAACTCGCACGGAACATTTTCAGGGAATACATCCTTGAATTTAACCAAGTCTTCATCGAGAGGATTTGTCTTGAGCGATTCCCACGATTGGGAGTCGTATCGCTCAATTCGTGTCTATTCATCTAGGACACTCTCGTCCATAGATGAACTACTGAGAACTCTCTCGTTCTCAGTAAACACTGTTGCTGATCTTATGTCGGCTACGCACTCGTCGTCAGCGACGAGTACGCAGATCTGCTTGACTTTGCCACTACGCAGATCACGCGAGAACCTTTTGTGTTCGAGCGTTGGCAACTGAGTGATCTCCGAAGTCAACTTCGGAGGCGTAATCAGATCAAGTGTATAAGCGCCTACACTTGATCCGTCATTCACCAAGACATTCACTGTCTCTGTCATTTTCTGGGGACTTATTCCCTCAGGCCTCGAAGGCCTTATTCCTTCGGCTTCCCGGGGACTTATTCCCGCGGGTTTCGTGGAACTTATGTCCGTCGTATTTGTAATATCGGGACTTATTCCCTTTACTTCCTCTGGCTGTGATTGCGCAACCACAGCGAGATCCTCTACGAAAGACTCTCCAGTCGATCTAGGATTATCGTTTCGCTTAACCGGAGCAATCGATTGTTTCTCTTCTAGATGTTCCCTGCTAGGGCTACATCTTTGTCCCGGTCCACCCGACTTATTCGAGTGGTGGACCTTCGGCGCAGCCTGTGTTTCCCTCACAGCCGCCGGAACTTTGCTCCGAAGTGTAACCGTTTGGTACACTAAGGTTTTGTGCAGTCGTACTAACGACCGTACCACAAGTGAGGCCATCGCACTCACTCGTAGTACATCCACACGCTTGTGGACGCTCCAAAACGTTCATCAGATGGCCATCTGATAATCAAGCGGCAGGCATCGTTACTGTTCGATGTTGCCAGTTTACCCGTGGTTCGTACCTTCTGAGCCACGGTATTTCAAGGATGACATCAAATTTGTCATCCAAATCCAATACGATAAAGTCATCGTCATATTGGGTATCTTCTAGCGTATAGTGGATCTTCACTGTACGCTTCATGACGGTTACGGATGCGCCTGTCGCAAGACGTACCGTCATCCTCGTTGGAGGTGTGTCACATTCACTGAATTTTAAGTGACCATCTTCTAGCGATTGGCGTCGCACAAAATTGTTAGACGCCCCACAATCGACTAGAGCTCGAAGGGACAACTTATTCGTCACTTCGAGTTTCAAGGTAATGAGTGAGATCTCATTACCTAGAGCAGCAACGTACAACGTTTGTGTGTTGGGAGCAACCTTCATCAAGAGGCCTACAAATTATCTTGACGTTGCTGAGCCAGTAGGGTGCTCCGCACCTACTGATCCTGTCCGTTTTTTGACGGACCATCCCGTTGTTGTGTCATTGCACCAACAGCGGACCCTCGTCCCTGCCCCTTTCTCATGGGTGGACGGTCACTACGCCCAGTGTCGCGAGACACTGGACGAGGGGCACTACACTCGTAAGCGTAGTGTCCTGTCTTCTGACATCTGTTGCATCTCTGCAACTTCTTGTAGCCTGTAGAGCGAGCCTTCTCGCTCTCTACATAACAGAGTTCCATCGGCTCTGGACCTCCGTTTTCATATCGTCTCGGTTGACGATGTGATGTCGAGCTGGCGCGAGCCTGTCTCAGACTGAAGTCTTCCTGTTCCGCAATGGTGATGGCTTGTTCTAGTGAATCTAGTTCAAGTCGGAACAGGTGAGTCTTGACGGGACCATCCACAAGACCCTGCATGAACACAGAAACCAACGTGTGTTCATCCACCGGGTTGGAACTTATACAACTCGTGAGATGTCGTATATGTTGAGCGTAAGCGTGCACATCACGCTTACCCTGCTTGAGCTTCAAGATTTCGGTTCGAGCTCTGAACTCAGCTCTAGGCGGTTCAAACGTTTGTCTGGGCCGCGACTTGAAGACTTCCAACGACCCAAACGCATATGGGTCGTGCAACTTGAGCCCCAGTGCCCAAGTCTTGGCACGTCCTGCCAGATTTGACTGGGCAAATGCAACTTGCATATCGCCGTCGTCGATGCGACGCGCCCTTATGGCGTCATCCAATTCGACGAAAAATCTCAAGAGGGAGTCCTCTTCGACTCCCCCATATTTGGAGATGTCAATCTTCAAGGTCTCGGGTCGACGCGAGTGCATCGACCCACCACCAGCAGCCTGCTGCTGTCTCAACAGTTCAAACTGTTGAGCACCCTGTTCTCTCAGCAACTCTGCTTGTTGAGAACCTTGTTGGTGAAGCAAGGCTACTTTCTCGCGTTCGGCGTCAAGTTCATTTTGAATGAACTTGGCGATAGTAGCATGTTGGGCATCTCTATTGAGAGCCTCTAGCATGACGCTAACAGCATGGATGCCCATGGTTGAACCCATCCGTTCAACCGCATCCCATTCGACATCGCTCAAATGGGAGTAGCCGTCACGCGTAGCGTGAAAGCTTTGGTCATCTTCATCATCCAACATATTCATGTTGGATGTGAACGCGGTCCTTGGACGGACTACGAAGTGCTACCAGGTGTAACGGGGCACCCTGAAGCTTGTACTGATGACAGTACAAGCTACTTATTCTGATGACAGAATAAGGCGGTGCCTCGGAACTTCACGTACACTCGTACGTGCAGAGGAAGACGGTAGAAGAAGCGAGTACTTGGTTGAAGTAAAAAGTAGAACTGTATTTATAATAGTTAATGTCTGCAATAAATCACTATTTATCTTCATCTAACTATGTCTAAATACAAATGTGTAAATCAGTTATCTGCTCACCACTCATTGCGTGCGTCTGTCGTGGCGCGTCTTCGTTGGTTGATATAATGGCCTATATCAACCAATTAGGAACTACTTGTAAGTGCAACAGAATATTTGTCCTTATGACAATATTCTGAGAATATAACTCTTATAGTTATATTCTATCAACAATTTCTTATAAATTGTTATGTAACGATTCACCCTGATACATTTTACCTTCACATGACCGAGTCGTTCAAGTAGATTAGCTTCCTCTGCACGTACGAGTGTACGTGAAGTTTCGTGGCACCCAAACAAAGGGTGCCCCGTTACATATTGAGTCATCAGTTTTGGTCGCTTTGATGATGAAGATGAAAGTGGAGGCCCTTCGTTTCCGGCAGGGGTCTGAAACGGTCTTACGTCGCCAAACTTGGTAGCGAGGTTTCTCGTTGGTGAGAAGATGCCGTCATCTTCTTGTTCCCCATTAAGAGTCATAATCTTTTCTCTGGTTGACGACGCGTCCGCTCTTTAGCTTTGTGCGCGCCGAAGTCCTCCAACTCAGCAGTCGACTCTTCGCTGCTGGTTGTACTACCAGTACTTGCGTACTTTGATGATAGTTGTGAGCTAAGAAACATGTCGACGCGTTAACAACTACCATTTACATGCATTGTTTCCTCTTTTATGATCTTGCATCTTTCTATGGACCTGGCATCATCATCGGCTACAACAGCAATATATGTGGTTAACATTTACCCGGCGTGATCAGTATCACGTAAAAGGTTGGCGACAACAATGGTCAATCTAAAACAGTATCACCTCGTACATGTAGTAGTAGTAGCCACGGTACTGGCTTCCGGGTGACAGGATACAAGCGGGTCTTGCGCCTACCTCAAAAAGCCTCACCTTCTCACTCGCTCACACTGGACCACGACTACAGCAACTACAAGTCATACAAAGCGGCGCTTTTGGACGATGTGACAGCCGCTCGGCCTCACTCTTTGCGTTTGTTTGGCTGTTAGAATAGCAATAGCAACTGCTCTCGGTACACTTTGACACGCAGACTGCTGTTCCTGCGAGTCAGTCTTTGCCATCGGTGCCACGCTAAACCCAAAAGCCATGGCCGAAGACTATACTAAGAGGTTAGCTGCAGTATGCGGCAACGATGTGCTTGTACTCTCCTTCGTCTGCTTCTTCTCGTGCTTCTTCTGTTGCCGTAGAAGGACTCCAAAGGTGCTGCTGGCTGCAGCTACCTCGCTTTCCTCTGATCTTGCTGGGCATGGGTTTGGATGGCCACTGCGTTCGCTCTTCCCCCGGCCATCCGCTCCTGGAGGAGAAGACACTGCTCGTGACGTCCTAAGAGGACTCACCAAAGCCGCCGTTGCGGCGCATCATGCTAACTTAATCAGTCTTAAATAATGCTGTCAATGTACGTGCCTCAATTCTAGTCACCGGAATGTAAACAACCTATTGATGACACATCTCTGCTTCGGTGATTGCATTCGTCGCTACTGGAGCCAGCAAAACCGATCTGATGCTGCAAATGATCGCCATTGAGGAACGGATGCCACTGCTTCCTACCATGAACGTCAAGCCCATGGACAGGTTTGTTTACTGGCTCATCGACGACGACGCGGCTGCAAAAAGAGAAGCTTCCGAGCGATGCTAGAATGTAGACCAGGCGATACATGTCCGTGTTCGAGTCGGACGTGGTAAGAACAGCACACACCTCGCTGGATCACCATGCCAATCGGTCCCATCCATGCCCCTGTTGCACGGCCTTGGCGTCTTGTCTGCCGTGTCCGACCCCCGCAGTCCCTTCATCTCTTCGACCTTCGAGCTAGTAACATAATGACGACGTACCAGCAGGAGAATACGTTGGCCGTAGCTCGTGTGTCGCGGCGCTTGCCGGAAGGTCGCGCAGTAAGCGTCAATTGAAGATCTTCGCCTTCAAGCGGCTTACTCTCTCTCACTGCACTTCAACGAAGTGCAGACAGATGCCAAGACAAAGCGAATCCTCGCTCAGATGCAGCGTGTAGACAACGAAGCCACGACCCCATCCTTTCTATCGTGACGTTCGAGAACATGGCGCAGAGACTCATCGACTGGACTATGAGTTCTGAGCTGCGTTACGAAGGAGACGTTTCTGGGGCAAAGTGGCGGACGTCAAGGAGACACGCGACACCTGCACCAAGTCAGATGAAGACAGTGAGGGCTTCTCAGTGAATCATGCAACAACCTGTACCCCTGTCACACCCCTCTCTCAGGCCAAGCAAAACACTCTAATCCCTTTCATGCATAACACGTAAGACAAGACGACAATTGAAACTTCACACATCCACAATTGGTATTACCAATGCATTACGTTCGTACTGCTTCTGCCGACTCACTTCGGAAGTAAGCCGGACGCAGCCAAAGAAAAGTCGATTGATGCGAACTACCAGTAGCTGGCAAACAGACTTCTCGCTCTCTTGAGCAACGGCTACGTTCAATGGCCAGGAGCCAGCAACGATCTGCCAAGAGCTTCCCTTACTTCAAACGGCACCGACACTCGCGGACACCCAGTGGTTTCACCGCCGTTAGAAGTCACTTTTACGTCGCCTGCGTACTTCACGGTAAGTAGCATGTCCTCTCCACTGATGGTCATCTCGACGCCAGGCTTCGTTACACACACAGCGTAGTATTTTTCACTGAGCGTGATGGTGTGTTCTTCATTGCAGGTGGTAGTACTGATCACAGCATCACCATCGTCGATCCCCGCGACTTCCTGGAGCATAAAGTTGATCCGCGGAATCATGTGTCGGCCTGACTCCGAGTCCAAACACTGAAAAATCTCTTTCGTTTGCGGCGACATTAACACAACAGCGTACCCATTCGTCTGTCTGTAGGAGGCGACCGAATTGTCGATACAAGATGCTGCACCCTCGTCGAGTCTGGCGGAGACATCGTAGAGTACCTTCGTCCCGCCTTCCGAAAGAACTGGCACGGCCAACATAGTGTACCTGCAATCTGGGTTGTTAACGACATTCGGCTTGACCTCGATGGACAGAGTTTGCCAACCTGGGCTCGACTCGGCTTGAAGAAGTCGTGCGCTGTTCTCCAGACGTAGCGCAGCGTTTGCAGACGAGAGCAACATGGTGGAGAACACCGTCAAGCGCAGGATCGCCGGCGGCATCTCGATGGCAGGGAATTGGAAGTTCGTGGGTTGTTGGTTGTGCTTGTGTACAAGGAGGCAAAAGCAGTTGTGAGATCACACAGAGCCACTCCTCGCAAGACATAAGGCGATGTCGTCTGGAAGAATCCCAAAGTCGGGCATTCTTTATATCCAGCAGAGAGAGCAAGCATCATATGCAACTTCTACACAGAGACTCGATACGACAAGCGGCCGGTTGCTAGTCTGAGAACTAATACCTGAAGAACGCGATCAATGGCTATCGCATTCGTTTGTTCATTGTCAATCGTGTTGACGGGCAGCCCATCCGGGTTTCATCACGGTTCCACGCACGCACGACGCAGCGTGTCCACTTGTTTTTGCAGCAGCGTACGAACCTGGTGAGTCCAACGGGAACCACGACTATGTGAAGATGCTGGCCACTGCCTTTGCTTGGAAGTGTTTAGTCACTACTTTACTTTGTGCACAACCCGACAAGGTTGTGATTCTCGTTGTATGCTCACGGCAGACGAGCCTCTGAAAAGAAAGCCAGAAACTCATCTGTCACACAGGAACTCCGCCATCGCCGTATGTTTGCGTGGCGTCAGCACATCAGAATTTCAGCCACACGATTGCATGTCGATTCGACGTCGGTGCTAGCCGGCTTCGATGGGCTGGTCGTGCGGCAAGGGTCTACGTCAATGGTGCCATTAGTGATTTCGTTACTGTAGAACATTGGGGATTCTTCTATCGGTCGTATTACAAACTCGATCTACTCCATGCATCTCGGCCACACCTTTGCTACAGCAAATCCCTCGTCACTATCACCTGGTGCTTTACAAAGCTGTAACGGGGCACCCTGAAGCTTGTACTGGTGACAGTACAAGCTACTTATTCTGATAACAGAATAAGGCGGTGCCTCGTAACTTCACGTACACTCGTACGTGCAGAGGAAGACGGTAAGAAGAAGCGAGTACTCGGTTAGAGTAAAAAGTAGAACTGTATTTATAATAGTTAATGTCTGCAATAAATCACTATTTATCTTCATCTAACTATGTCTAAATACAAATGTGTAAATCAGTTATCTGCTCACCACTCATTGCGTGCGTCTGTCGTGGCGCGTCTTCGTTGGTTGATATAATGGCCTATATCAACCAATTAGGAACTACTTGAAGTGCTACAGAATATTGTCCTTATGACAATATTCTGAGAATATAACTCTTATAGTTATATTCTATTAACAATTTCTTATAAATTGTTATGTAACGATTCACCCCGTTACATCACCCCCTTAACCATCAGTCACTTTAGTGACTGATTGACTAAATGGATACTCGTCCCAAATCATTTGGGACGGGGTTTGCACTTGTTGGTCCGCGTCCACTTTCCAACATCTCATCGCATGGTAAACAAGCCCATGCGATGCGCGAGCAAGGCCGCCGAGAGCGCGTCTGCACGTCTCTGTGCGGACGCCGAAGCAGAAACTACAGCAACTGATGTCCCATCGGTTGCTGAATCGACTCAGCCTGTATCACCTGGTGATGCAGGCGCTGGTCATGAAGACACTCGTGTCTTCACAGAGTACGAGCTCGGTGTCTCGTACTCTCCTGATACGGATGACGGATCCGTATCGACGGCAATTGAATCCAAGCCGCCTGCCAAGCGTGGCATGGACGATGCTTTGCGTCGCAGCATCTTTGGTTCATCTGATGAGTCAGATGAACCATCGCCGAAGCGAAGGCGCTCGAGGTCGCGAGACTCGGGCGCTAATAGTGGTGTCGGTTCTCCTATGGACACCACTTCACAGCGAGGTGCCAGTACTTCTGTCGGCACGTCGCAGGAAGAGCGGGACCGCAATGTGTTGCGTCTCGCTCCAGAAAAGAAGGCATGGATGCCTCCTAAATCTGTCATGGATCACTTGTCGGCGACGACGAGTGATCGTTATCGAACACGATTGTTCGATTCGTCGAGGATTCATCACCTTGACCCCAGCGCGAAAGACTATCGCGCTGAACATGAGTTCTTCATCGATGCTTTCTTCAGACATCGATGGTACAGTGGGAATCACAAACGTGATGGTCCCTCACTACTTCAGGCGTGGAACGCCTACATCCATAATCTCGAGGATGTAGGTCGTGACGCTTGGAACGACAAACTTATCAAAGCTCGTGATAAGTTTGAAAAGCGAACCCCGACAGGTGCACGCTACAAGCTGCATCGTCTGTCAAGGGAGAAAGGATTACCCTGCCTCTCTTGGGGAGACTCGTGCCCATGTTGTGTGAACAACTCTGCACGAGCACCTAAGGAGGCTTACCTCCTTACCAGCCCGTGGTGGCGCGTACGTGTCTCTACTGAGATGTACGAAGGGATTGACAACCTGAAATCCCTTTACGACCGTGCCGGGAAGACTTTCTCCGGCGGTCCTTCTGCGGCACAGGATGTGTCGCGTCGTACTGCTCGACCAGACCCAGTACGTCAACCATCAATTGGGAGCGGGGCTCCCAAGAATCCCAGGACGGGGGATAGCCGCGCCACCGGACGAGATAACTCGTCCGACGTCCGTTCACGTCGCGGTGGTTCAACAGCTGCTCAACTAGATAGCGCTGGCCACCGCGAGAGTCCTCTAATGGAGGTGGAGGAGGAGGAAAGACGCTCTCCACACGATCATGTGGATCGGTGTGTTCCCGAGAGCTTCTTTTTGATCGCGTAACGCAAGGGTTACGCGACGATCTCGAGCATGAGCGGAATAGGCGTCTCCAGATGGTGGACACTGCCTCGAAGCATCGAGCTGAGTTTGCCTTTGCTCAGCTTGAGAACGAGAGATCTCTGACATCTCTTCGTGACGAGCTAAGGGTAGCTCGTGGGATTGTTGATCGGTCTCGGGCTGAGATAACTGCTCTTCAGACCCTTGTTGATGCCCACCATCGGGAGCACAAGGCTCTCTGCGAGATGCTTGAGCGCAAGGGCGTTCTTCATCGGAAGAAGCAGCGTACTGATGGTACGGCTTAAGCCGACCAACGTAAAACGTGGGATGCGTTCGCATCTTACGTGGTAACTCGATCGTGTATGCATTGCCTAGGCGGTGCAATACACGAAATGGGCCAATGTACTTGGGTAGTAGTTTACTGCTACCCAAGTTAGTCACTACATGTTTTGGTAGATTAACCGTAGACAGTAGGACTAAGTCACCTTTATTAAATAAAAGAGTGTTTGCCCTTCCATTCTTGTCAGCGTTTTGCTTTTGCTTATCCACCGCTTCGGCGATGGAGTCTTGCACAAAACGGACTACCGTTTCACGAGCCAGTATGAACTCATCTGATGACTCGTTAGCTTCAGTGTGCTGTGAGCGCACTGCAGCAACAACAACCTTTTCTTCAGTGAGGGCTTCCGCACTCTCACTGGCATCATTGTCTTCAGTGAGGGCTTCCGCACTCTCACTGGCATCATCTTCTTCGATATCGATGTTATCGATATCGGCATCAAACGCAATGACTTCTTCGTCAGAGCGTGATGAGCGTGAACCAAATCGGTTTTTGCTCGCGCGAGTCCCTCCCCCCTTAAACCAGAGTTACACTCTAGTAAGGTGGGTACACGCGGATGGCGCAAGCCATTCACGTAAAACGGTGTATGTGTCGTGGACGCATGCACCGAGTTGTTGATGGCAAACTCTACCATTGGCAAGAACTCACTCCAACTCTTAAAGGAGTGTACGTATCCTCGAAGTATCTCTTCAAGGACACGATTGGCACGTTCCGTCTGACCATCTGACTCTGGATGATCAGATGTTGACATCTTCAAGCGCGTTCCGAGTGATTTGAACACGGAACGCCAGAAATCAGCAGTGAATCGTGGATCTCTGTCTGATACGAGTTCACGGGGCAACCCATGAAGTCGGAAGATGGTGTCAATAAAGACACAAGCACAGCCACTTGCCGTGATTGTCTCTGGTACAGCCACAAGGTGTACCATTTTGCTGAATCTGTCAACAAATACGAGAATACCCGTATTCCCGCGTGCGTCTTTGGGTAACCCGAAGACGAAATCCATTGAGATGGATTCCCAGCACTCAGCCGGAACCGGTAGAGGCTGTAAAGGTGCACGCAGTGAAGGACTTGACTTCACTCGTTGGCAGACTTCGCATGCGCGAACATACTTTCGCACAAACTGATACTGGCGGGGCCAGTAAAAGTCTCGACTTACCGTGAGATATGTTTTCTCTCGGCCACGATGTCCTCCTATAGGAGCATCGTGATACTCGAACATGATCCGCAAACGCAGATCAGTATCATCTGGAATGACAACACGTGGTGTGTCACCAGAAACGGCTGTATAATACAGTAAACCGTTACGAGTAGTGTATCGATCTGATGCAGATCGATACGCAGACGACAATCGTTTCAACGATTCTCGAGATGGTTGGGAGAGATGTGACAACAACTTCACTATCTCACCATCTTGGGCGTATGCCCGCCTCACATCATCATACAACGTTGTAGATGGAACTGAGGACGTCATAACCGCAACAGTGACTGTCTCACTGTTGGGTTTCGCGACTGTTTCAAAGTCGGGACGACGTGAGAGTGCATCAGCGACGACATTAAGTCGTCCTGGTTTGTACTCGACCGTAAAGTTGTATTCTGCAAAGAATGACAACCACCGCGCCATTCGTTGTGAAAGGTGCGGGCTGTTCACTGCCGTGCGTAAGGACGCATGGTCAGTGTAAACAACGAAGGGTCTATCTCCTAATAGATAGACTCTGAACTTCGCGAGTGCATACTTCATGGCAAGGAGTTCCTTGTCATGCACTGGATAGTTCCGCTCAGCTGGTTGCAGCTGACGCGACTGATAGCAGACGACGCGTTCAACGCCTTCAAGGTCGTACTGCATTAATGCACAGCCGATTGCGAAATCGCTGGCATCACAGACCACATGAAATGGCCTGTCCTGATCGGCTATTGCTAGGACTGGGGATTGTATCAAGCTCTGCTTGATACCCTCAAAGGAGCGTTGACATTCAGCGTTCCATAACCACCTCTCGTTCTTTTTCAACAAACGAGAGAGGTGTACAGTCATCTCGGCGTAATTGCGTGAATACTTATGCAAATACGCCGCTAGCCCAAGGAATTTTCGAAGACCTTTGACATCGACCGGCACAGGCCAGTCGGTGATCGCCTTGATCTTTTCGGGATCAGGACGTACACCGTTCTTACCAACGATGCACCCAAGAAGTGGTATTTCGCTTGCTGCAAAAATACACTTCTTGAGGTTTGCATACAATTGATGCTTTCGCATGATTGTAAGAACTTGTCGGACGTGGTACTTGTGAACCTCAACGTCCGACTTTCCATCCATAGCTCGACTATGGATGAATACGTCATCGAAATAACTCGGCGCGAATTCTCGTACTGGCCTCAACAGATGTGATACACACCTGTTGAACGTGGCAGGGGCATTACTGAGCCCTTGTGGCATTACTAGCCATTCCCAGAGCATGCCGCTAGGCGTGCTAACTGCGGTATAGGGTGTATCCCTGTTCCCGCATAAGGATTTGATAGAAGCCATCCATCAAATCCATGGACGAAAAGATGGTACTCTTTGACATACCATCAATGATTACGTCCTTCCTCGGTATCGGCGTCTGAGCCGGTACCGTTGCAACATTCAACTTGTTAAATGCATGCACTATCCACCACCCTCCTGTTGCTTTTCGCACACAGAAGGTCGGAGAGCTATGTGGGGAAGTTGATTCCCTCACATGGCCCGCTGCTAAACGATCGGCAAAGAACTTGTCGATCGCAAGTACTTGTTCACGAGGCAGTGGCCACTGCTTCATGACACAGTACTTCGAGCCTGGTTTAAGCTCGACTTCGTGTCGAATACCTTTATCCTTCGGTAATTCGCACGGAACAGTTTCAGGGAATACATCCTTGAATTCAACCAAATCTTCATAGAGAGGATTTGTCTTGAGCGATTCCCATGATTGGGACTCATATCGCTCAATTCGTGTCTTTTCATCTAGGACACTCTCGTCCATAGATGAACTACTGAGAACTCTCTCGTTCTCAGTAAACACTGTTGCTGACCTTATGTCGGTTACACACTCGTCGTCAGCGACGAGTATGCAGATCTGCTTGACTTTGCCACTACGCAGATCACGCAAGAACCTTTTATGTTCGAGCGTTGGCAACTGAGTGATCTCCGAAGTTAACTTCGGAGGCGCAATCAGATCAAGTGTATAAGCGCCTACACATGATCCGTTATTGACTATGACATTCAATGTCTCTGTCATTTCCTGGGGACTTATTCCCTCAGGCTTCGAAGGACTTATTCCTTCGTCTTCCCGGGGACTTATTCCCGCGGGTTTCGGGGAACTTATTTCCGCCGTATTTGTAATCTTGGGACTTATTCCCTTTACTTCCTCTAGCTGGGGTTGCGCAACCACAGCGAGATCCTCTACGAAAGACTCTCCAGTCGATCTAGGATTATCGTTTCGCTTAACCTGAGCGATCGATTGTTTCTCTTCTAGATGTTCCCCGCTAGGGATACATCTTTGTCCCAGTCCACCCGACTTATTCGAGTGGTGGACCTTCGGCGCAGCCTGTGTTTCCTCACAGCCGCCGGAACTTTGCTCCGAAGTGTAACCGTTTGGTACACTAAGGTTTTGTGCAGTCGTACTAACGACCGTACCACAAGTGAGGCCATCGCACTCACTCGTAGTACATCCACACGCTTGTGGACGCTCCAAAACGTTCATCAGATGGCCATCTGATGAACAAGCGGCAGGCATCGTTACTGTCCGATGTTGCCAGTTTACCCGTGGTTCGTACCTTCTGAGCCACGGTATTCCAAGGATGACATCAAATTTGTCATCCAAATCCAATACGATAAAGTCATCGTCATATTGGGTATCTTCTAGCGTATAGTGAATCTTCACTATACGCTTCATGACGGTTACGGATGCGCCTGTCGCAAGACGTACCGTCATCCTCGTAGGAGGTGTGTCACATTCACTGAATTTAAAGTGACCATCTTCTAGCGATTGGCGTCGCACAAAATTGTTAGACGCCCCACAATCGACTAGAGCTCGAAGGGACAACTTATTCGTCACTTCGAGTTTCAAGGTAATGAGTGAGATCTCATTACCTAGAGCAGCAACGCACAATGTCTGTGTGTTGGGAGCAACCTTCATCAAGAGGCCTACAAATTCTCTTGACGTTGCTGGATCAGTAGGGTGCTCCGCACCTACTGATCCTGTCCGTTTTTTGACGGTCCATCCCGTTGTTGCGTCTTTGCACCAACTGCGGACCCTCGTCCCTGCCCCTTTCTCATGGGTGGACGGTCACTACGCCCAGTGTCGCGAGACACTGGACGAGGGGCACTACACTCGTAAGCGTAGTGTCCTGTCTTTTGACATCTGTTGCATCTCTGCAACTTCTTGTAGCCTGTAGAGCGAGCCTTCTCGCTCTCTACATAACAGAGTTCCATCGGCTCTGGACCTCCGTTGTCATATCGTCTCGGTTGACGATATGATGTCGAGCTGGCGCGAGCCTGTCTCAGACTGAAGTCTTCCTGCTCCGCAATTGAAATGGCTTGTTCTAGTGAATCTAGTTCAAGCCGGAACAGGTGAGTCTTGACGGGACCATCCGCAAGACCCTGCATGAACACCGAAACCAACGTGTGTTCATCCACCGGATTGGAACTTATACAACTCGTGAGATGTCGTATATGTTGAGCGTAAGCGTGCACATCACGCTTACCCTGCTTGAGCTTCAAGAGTTCGGTTCGAGCTCTGAACTCAGCTCTAGGCGGTTCAAACGTTTGTCTGAGCCGCGACTTGAAGACTTCCAACGACCCAAACGCATATGGGTCGTGCAGCTTGAGCCCCAGTGCCCAAGTCTTGGCACGTCCTGCCAGATTTGACTGGGCAAATGCAACTTGCATATCCCCGTCGTCGATGCGACGCGCCCTTATGGCGTCATCCAATTCGACGAACCATCTCAAGAGAGAGTCTTCTTCGACCCCCCTATACTTTGAGATGTCAATCTTCAAAGTCTCGGGTCGATGCACTCGCGTCGACCCGCCAGCAGCAGCTTGCTGCTGTCTCAACAGTTCAAACTGTTGAGCACCTTGTTCTCTCAACAACTCTGCTTGTTGAGAACCTTGTTGGTGAAGCAAGGCTACTTTCTCGCGTTCTGCGTCAAGTTCATTTTGAATGAACTTGGCGATAGTAGCATGTTGGGCATCTCTATTGAGAGCCTCTAGCATGACGCTAACAGCATGGATGCCCATGGTCGAACCCATTCGTTCAACCGCATCCCATTCGACATCGCTCAAATGGGAGTAGCCGTCACGCGTAGCGTGAAAGCTTTGGTCATCTTCATCATCCAACATATTCATGTTGGATGTGAACGCGGTCCTTGGACGGACTACGAAGTGCTACCAGGTGTAACGGGGCACCCTGAAGCTTGTACTGGTGACAGTACAAGCTACTTATTCTGATAACAGAATAAGGCGGTGCCTCGTAACTTCACGTACACTCGTACGTGCAGAGGAAGACGGTAAGAAGAAGCGAGTACTCGGTTAGAGTAAAAAGTAGAACTGTATTTATAATAGTTAATGTCTGCAATAAATCACTATTTATCTTCATCTAACTATGTCTAAATACAAATGTGTAAATCAGTTATCTGCTCACCACTCATTGCGTGCGTCTGTCGTGGCGCGTCTTCGTTGGTTGATATAATGGCCTATATCAACCAATTAGGAACTACTTGGAAGTGCTACAGAATATTGTCCTTATGACAATATTCTGAGAATATAACTCTTATAGTTATATTCTATTAACAATTTCTTATAAATTGTTATGTAACGATTCACCCCGTTACAAAAGCGCGCTACTTCGGTTACTGCCGCTGAATGCAGCAACGTCCATACGAGGCAACGACCGCTTGTGTCACTCATCGGCGTCGTGCTTCAGCAAATTCTGACCGAGTAGCCAATTCACCCTTCTGTATCGAGCATATTCGCATTGTGTTATGCCATCACAGACACACCATCAGGCTATCAAGGTTGCTTAGTGTTGGCGTTATAGGACACTAGTTCACGAGCTGGACCCGATGAGAATAATCGCTTCTGTGACGGAGAAGGCGCGGGAGATTGGGTCATACAGGCGAAGCAGCACTAGTTTTAGCCGGTTTGTTGATTGTAGAATGTGCGCGATGCTCAGCGCTTGTTTCAGTAAGACTCTTCATGTTGCTCCGCAGGTTATGCGAAAGGTAAAAACCCGGTTCGGATTGTGGTTCGTCATCGGACGCTGATGCGAAAAAGATTCCGCATTCCGTCCCGGTGTGATCCAGCTATTGCAAACAGGCGTCCTTTACACTGAACTTAATTTGATCAAAGCACTCACACGATAGCAAATCAGGGACTGGACATGCTAAAGCGAGTGGGCATCTTCATTCCGTATTTTTAAAACATGCATGTTGGTAGGGGGTGTGCATGAGGTCGATCAGCCTGATTGACAAATGGATCTAGTCTTAATAAGGTCACATGGCGTCTACCGCTCGGAATAAATATCCTTGTATATTTGATATACAGCCCTTTAGGCCTTGTATCTGTGATAATTGATGTGGCTGATAACTTATTTTCATCCTCTGAAGACACAGTGATGTACCATGCATCAATCTCTTAGGCTGCAAAAAGTTAATATGAGAATCAGTTTTAACTAAGTATTGGTCAGTGAAATGATGTTTAATTCCATTAATTTTAGAATTAGAAAAAGGCTCCTCTTTAATCAGCCGGCGCACAAAAAAAACACGTGTGGACAACAATACTTCACACGTGTCTTGTTAACGCACCAGCTGATCGCTAAGAGTAAAAGCCTTCTTGTGGCGAATGCTCTATTATCTATGTATGTAGTGCACTCTTCAATTCGCCCTATCATGTAACGGGGCACCCTGAAGCTTGTACTGGTGACAGTACAAGCTACTTATTCTGATGACAGAATAAGGCGGTGCCTCGTAACCTTACGTACACTGGTACGTGCAGAGGAAGACGGTAAGAAGAAGCGAGTACTTGGTTAAAGTAAAAAGTAGAACTGTATTTATAATAGTTAATGTCTGCAATAAATCACTATTTATCTTCATCTAACTATGTCTAAATACAAATGTGTAAATCAATTATCTGCTCACCACTCATTGCGTGCGTCTGTCGTGGCGCGTCTTCGTTGGTTGATACAATGGCCTATGACAACCAATTAGGAACTACTCGTAAGTGCTGCAGAATATTTGTCCTTATGACAATATTCTGAGAATATAACTCTAATAGTATATTCTATCAACAATTTCTTATAAATTGTCATGTAACGATTCACCCCGTTACATCACCCCCCCCTTAACCATCAGTCACTTTAGTGACTGATTGACTAAATGGATACTCGTCCCAAATCATTTGGGACAGGGTTTGCACTTGTTGGTCCGCGTCCACCTTCCAACATCTCATCGCATGGTTAACAAGCCCATGCGATGCGCGAGCAAGGCCGCCGAGAGCGCGTCTGCACGTCTCTGTGCGGACGCCGAAGCAGAAATAACAGCAACTGATGTCCCATCGGTTGCCGAAGCGACTTAGCCTGTGTCACCTGGTGATGCAGGCGCTGGTCATGAAGACACTCGTGTCTTCACAGAGTACGAGCTCGGTGTCGCGTACTCTCCTGATACGGATGACGGATCCGTATCGACGGCGATTGAATCTAAGCCGCCTGCCAAGCGTGGCATGGACGATGCTTTGCGTCGCAGCATCTTTGGTTCATCTGATGAATTAGATGAACCATCGCCGAAGCGAAGGCGCTCGAGGTCGTGAGACTCAGGCGCTAATAGTGGTGTCGGTTCTCCAATGGACACCACTTCACAGCGAGGTGCCAGTACTTCTGTCGGCACGTCGCAGGAAGAGCGGGACCGCAATGTGTTGCGTCTCGCTCCAGAAAAGAAGGCATGGATGCCTCCGAAATCTGTCATGGATCACTTGTCGGCGACGACGAGTGATCGTTATCGAACACGATTGTTCGATTCGTCAAGGATCCATCACCTTGACCCCAGCGCGAAAAACTATCGCGCTGAACACGAATTCTTCATGGATGCTTTCTTCAGACATCGATGGTACAGTGGGAATCACAAACGTGATGGTCCCTCACTACTTCAAGCGTGGAACGCCTACATCCATAACCTTGAGGATGTAGGTCGTGACGCTTGGAACGACAAACTTATCAAAGCTCGTGATAAGTTTGAAAAGCGAACCCCGACAGGTGCACGCTACAAGCTGCATCGTCTGTCAAGGGAGAAAGGATTACCCTGCCTCTCTTGGGGAGACCCGTGCCCATGTTGTGTGAACAACTCTGCACGAGCACCTAAGGAGGCTTACCTCCTTACCAGCCCGTGGTGGCGCGTAAGTGTCTCTACTGAGATGTACGAAGGGATTGACAACCTGAAATCCCTTTACGACCGTGCCGGGAAGACTTTCTCCGGCGGTCCTTCTGCGGCACAGGATGTGCCGCGTCGTACTGCTCAACCAGACCCAGTACGTCAACCATCAGTTGGGAGCGGGGCTCCCAAGAATCCCAGGACGGGGGATAGCCGCGCCACCGGACGAGGTAACTCGTCCGACGTCCGTTCACGTCGCGGTGGTTCAACAGCTGCTCAACTAGATAGCGCTGGCCACCGCGAGAGTCCTCTAATGGAGGTGGAGGAGGAGGAAAGACGCTCTCCACACGATCATGTGGATCGGTGTGTTCCCGAGAGCTTCTTTGATCGCGTAACGCAAGAGTTACGCGACGATCTCGAGCATGAGCGGGACAGGCGTCTCCAAATGGCGGACACTGTCTCAAAGCATCGAGCTGAGTTTGCCTTTGCTCAGCTTGAGAACGAGAGAGCTCTGACATTTCTGCTTGACGAGCTAAGGGTAGCTCGTGGAATTGTTGATCGGTCTCGGGCTGAGATAACTGCTCTTCAGACCCTTGTTGATGCCCACCATCGGGAGCACAAGGCTCTCTGTGAGATGCTTGAGCGCAAGGGCGTTCTTCATCGGAAGAAACAGCGTACAGATGGTACGGCTTAAGCCGACCAACGTAAAACGTGGGATGCGTTCGCATCTTACGTGGTAACTCGATCGTGTATGCATTGCCTAGGCGGTGCAATACACGAAATGGGCCAATGTACTTGGGTAGTAGTTTACTGCTACCCAAGTTAGTCACTACACGCTTTGGTAGATTAACCGTATACAGTAGGACTAAGTCACCTTTGTTAAATAAAAGAGTGTTTGCCCTTCCATTCTTGTCTGCGTTTTTCTTTTCCTTATCCACCGCTTCGGCGATTGAGTCTTGCACAAACGGACTACCGTTTCACGAGCCAGTATGAACTCATCTGATGACTCGTTAGCTTCAGTGTGCTGTGAGCGCACTGCAGCAACATCAATCGTTTCTTCAGTGAGGGCTTCCGCACTCTCACTGGGATCATTGTCTTGAGTGAGGGCTTCCGCACTCTCACTGGCATCATCTTCTTCGATATCGATGTTATCGATATCGGCATCAAACGCAATGACTTCTTCGTCAGAGCGTGATGAGCGTGAAACAAATCGGTTTTTGCTCGCGCGAGTCCCTCCCCCCCCTTAAACCAGAGTTACACTCTAGTAAGGTGGGTACACGCGGATGGCGCAAGCCATTCACGTAAAACGGTGTATGTGTCGTGGACGCATGCACCGAGTTGTTGATGGCAAACTCTACCATTGGCAAGAACTCACTCCAACTCTTAAAGGAGTGTACGTATCCTCGAAGTATCTCTTCGAGGACACGATTGGCACGTTCCGTCTGACCATCTGACTCTGGATGATCAGATGTCGACATCTTCAAGCGCGTTCCGAGTGATTTGAACACGGAACGCCAGAAATCAGCAGTGAATCGTGGATCTCTGTCTGATACGAGTTCACGGGGCAACCCATGAAGTCGGAAGATGGTGTCAATAAAGACACAAGCACAGCCACTTGCCGTGATTGTCTCTGGTACAGCCACAAGGTGTACCATTTTGCTGAATCTGTCAACAAAAACGAGAATACCCGTATTCCCGCGTGCGTCTTTGGGTAACCCGAAGACGAAATCCATTGAGATGGATTCCCAGCACTCAGCCGAACCGGTAGAGGCTGTAAAGGTGCACGCAGTGAAGGACTTGACTTCACTCGTTGGCAGACTTCGCATGCGCGAACATACTTTCGCACAAACTGATACTGGCGGGGCCAGTAAAAGTCTCGACTTACCGTGAGATTTGTTTTCTCTCGGCCACGATGTCCTTCTATAGGAGCATCGTGATACTCGAACATGATCCGCAAACGCAGATCAGTGTCATCTGGAATGACAACACGTGGTGTGTCACCAGAAACGGCTGTACAATGCAGTAAACCGTTACGAGTAGTGTATCGATCTGATGCAGATCAATACGCAGGCGACAATCGTTTCAACGATTCTCGGGATGGTTGGGAGAGATGTGAAAACAACTTCACTATCTCACCATCTTGGGCGTATGCCCGCCTCACATCATCATACAACGTTGTAGATGGGACTGAGGACGTCATAACCGCAACAGTGACTGTCTCACTGTTGGGTTTCGCGACTGTTTCAAAGTCGGGACGACGTGAGAGTGCATCAGCGACGACATTAAGTCGTCCTGGTTTGTACTCGACCGTAAAGTTGTATTCCGCAAAGAATGACAACCACCGCGCCATTCGTTGTGAAAGGTGCGGGCTGTTCACTGCCGTGCGTCATGACGCATGGTCAGTGTAAACAACGAAGGGTCTATCTCCTAATAGATAGACTCTGAACTTCGCGAGTGCATACTTCATGGCAAGGAGTTCCTTGTCATGCACTGGATAGTTCCGCTCAGCTGGTTGCAGCTGACGCGACTGATAGCAGACGACGCGTTCAACGCCTTCAAGATCGTACTGCATTAATGCACAGCCGATTGCGACATCGCTGGCATCACAGACCACATGAAATGGCCTATCTTGATCGGCTATTGCTAGGACTGGGGATTGTATCAAGCTCTGCTTGATACCCTCAAAAGAGCGTTGACATTCAGCGTTCCATAACCACCTCTCGTTCGTTTTCAACAAAGAGAGAGGTGTACGGTCATCTCGGCGTAATTGCGTGAATACTTATGCAAATACGCCGCTAGCCCAAGGAATTTTCGAAGACCTTTGACATCGACCGGCACAGGCCAGTCGGTGATCGCCTTGATCTTTCCGGGATCAGGACGTACACCGCTCTTACCAACGATGCACCCAAGAAGTGGTATTTCGCTTGCGGCAAATTTACACTTCTTGAGGTTAGCATACAATTGATGCTTTCGCATGATTGTAAGAACTTGTCGGACGTGGTACTTGTGAACCTCAACGTCCGACTTTCCATCCATAGCTCGAATATGGATGAAGACGTCATCGAAATAACTCGGCGCGAATTCTCGTACTGGCCTCAACAGATGTTATACACATCTGTTGAACGTGGCAGGGGCATTACTGAGCCCTTGTGGCATTACTAGCCATTCCCAGAGCATGCCGCTAGGCGTGCTAACTGCGGTATAGGGTGTATCCCGTTCCCGCATAAGGATTTGATAGAAGCCATCCATCAAATCCATGGACGAAAAGATGGTACTCTTTGACATACCATCAATGATTACGTCCTTCCTCGGTATCGGCGTCTGAGCCGGTACCGTTGCAACATTCAATTTGTTAAACGCATGCACTATCCACCACCCTCCTGTTGCTTTTCGCACACAGAAGGTCGGAGAGCTATGTGGGGAAGTTGATTCCCTCACATGGCCCGCTGCTAAACGATCGGCAAAGAACTTGTCGATCGCAAGTACTTGTTCACTAGGCAGTGGCCACTGCTTCATGACACAGTACTTCGAGCCTGGTTTATGCTCGACCTCGTGTCGAATACCTTTATCCTTCGGTAATTCGCACGGAACAGTTTCAGGGAATACATCCTTGAATTCAACCAAATCTTCATCGAGAGGATTTGTCTTGAGCGATTCCCACGATTGGGAGTCGTATCGCTCAATTCGTGTCTTTTCATCTAGGACACTCTCGTCCATAGATGAACTACTGAGAACTCTCTCGTTCTCAGTAAACACTGTTGCTGACCTTATGTCGGTTACACACTCGTCGTCAGTGACGAGTATGCAGATCTGCTTGACTTTGCCACTACGCAGATCACGCAAGAACCTTTTATGTTCGAGCGTTGGCAACTGAGTGATCTCCGAAGTTAACTTCGGAGGCGCAATCAGATCAAGTGTACAAGCACCTACACTTGATCCGTTATTGACTATGACATTCAATGTCTCTGTCATTTCCTGGGGACTTATTCCCTCAGGCTTCGAAGGACTTATTCCTTCGTCTTCCCGGGGACTTATTCCCGCGGGTTTCGGGGAACTTATTTCCGCCGTATTTGTAATCTTGGGACTTATTCCCTTTACTTCCTCTAGCTGGGGTTGCGCAACCACAGCGAGATCCTCTACGAAAGACTCTCCAGTCGATCTAGGATTATCGTTTCGCTTAACTTGAGCGATCGATTGTTTCTCTTCTAGATGTTCCCCGCTAGGGATACATCTTTGTCCCAGTCCACCCGACTTATTCGAGTGGTGGACCTTCGGCGCAGCCTGTGTTTCCTCACAGCCGCCGGAAATTTGCTCCGAAGTGTAACCGTTTGGTACACTAAGGTTTTGTGCAGTCTTACTAACGACCGTACCACAAGTGAGGCCATCGCACTCACTCGTAGTACATCCACGCGCTTGTGGACGCTCCAAAACGTTCATCAGATGGCCATCTGATGAACAAGCGTCAGGCATCGTTACTGTTCGATGTTGCCAATTTATCCGTGGTTCGTACCTTCTGAGCCACGGTATTCCAAGGATGACATCAAATTTGTCATCCAAATCCAATACGATAAAGACATCGTCATATTGGGTATCTTCTAGCGTATAGTGGATCTTCACTATACGCTTCATGACGGTTACGGATGCGCCTGTCGCAAGACGTACCGTCATCCTCGTAGGAGGTGTGTCACATTCACTGAACTTAAAGTGACCATCTTCTAGCGATTGGCATTGCACAAAATTGTTGGACGCCCCACAATCGACTAGAGCTCGAAGGGACAACTTTTTCGTCACTTCGAGTTTCAAGTTAACGAGTGAGATCTCATTACCTAGAGCAGCAACGCACAACGTTTGTGTGTTGGGAGCAACCTTCATCAAGAGGCCTACAAATTCTCTTGACGTTGCTAGACCAGTAGGGTGCTCCGCACCTACTGATCCTGTCCGTTTTTTGACTGTCCATCACGTTGTTGCGTCTTTGCACCAACTGCGGACCCTCGTCCCTGCCCCTTTCTCATGGGTGGACGGTCACTACGCCCAGTGTCGCGAGACACTGGACGAGGGGCACTACACTCGTAAGCGTAGTGTCCTGTCTTTTGACATCTGTTGCATCTCTGCAACTTCTTGTAGCCTGTAGAGCGAGCCTTCTCGCTCTCTACATAACAGAGTTCCATCGGCTCTGGACCTCCGTTGTCATATCGTCTCGGTTGACGATATGATGTCGAGCTGGCGCGAGCCTGTCTCAGACTGAAGTCTTCCTGTTCCGCAATGGTGATGGCTTGTTCTAGTGAATCTAGTTCAAGCCGGAACAGGTGAGTCTTGACGGGACCATCCGCAAGACCCTGCATGAACACCGAAACCAGCGTGTGTTCATCCACCGGATTGGAACTTATACAACTCGTAAGATGTCGTATATGTTGCACGTGAGCGTACACATCACGCTTACCCTGTTTGAGCTTCAAGAGTTCGGTTCGAGCTCTGAACTCAGCTCTAGGCGGTTCAAACGTTTGTCGGGGCCGCGACTTGAAGACTTCCAACGGCCCAAACGCATATGGGTCGTGCAACTTGAGCCCCAGTGCCCAAGTCTTGGCACGTCCTGCCAGATTTGACTGGGCAAATGCAACTTGCATATCGCCGTCGTCGATGCGACGCGCCCTTATGGCGTCATCCAATTCGACGAACCATCTCAAGAGGGAGTCCTCTTCGACTCCCCTATACTTGGAGATGTCAATCTTTAAGGTCTCGGGTCGACGCGAGTGCATCGACCCACCAGCAGCAGGCTGCTGCTGTCTCAACAGTTCAAACTGTTGAGCACCCTGTTCTCTCAACAACTCTGCTTGTTGAGAACCTTGTTGGTGAAGCAAGGCTACTTTCTCGCGTTCAGCGTCAAGTTCTTTTTGAATGAACTTGGCGATAGTAGCATGTTGGGCATCTCTATTAAGAGCCTCTAGCATGACGCTAACAGCATGGATGCCCATGGTTGAACCCATCCGTTCAGCCGCATCCCATTCGACATCGCTCAAATGGGAGTAGCCGTCACGCGTAGCGTGAAAGCTTTGGTCATCTTCATCATCCAACATATTCATGTTGGATGTGAACGCGGTCCTTGGACGGACTACAAAGTGCTACCAGGTGTAACGGGGCACCCTGAAGCTTGTACTGGTGACAGTACAAGCTACTTATTCTGATGACAGAATAAGGCGGTGCCTCGTAACTTCACGTACACTGGTACGTGCAGAGGAAGACGGTAAGAAGAAGCGAGTACTTAGTTTAAGTAAAAAGTAGAACTGTATTTATCATAGTTAGTGACTGTTAATAAATCACTATTCATCCTCATCTAACTATGTCTAAATACAAATGTGCATGTCAACTATCTGCTCACCACTCATTGCGTGCGTCTGTCGTGGCGCGTCTTCGTTGGTTGATATAATGGCCTATATCAACCAATTAGGAACTACTCGTAAGTGCTACAGAATATTTGTCCTTATGACAATATTCTGAGAATATAACTCTTATAGTTATATTCTATTAACAATTTCTCATAAATTGTCATGTAACGATTCATCTTGTTACATATCATAGGCAGTCGACCAGGAGTGGCGGCAACACAGCAAGTTTCGTACTAAGCGAGATTTCCTTCCTTTCCGGGCCTTGACGGACCGCGACGTCCCGCCCTAGGACCTCCCGCCTGGGGACACGGCCACACAAGGCACAGCCAGGGAGACAAATACAGACAATCCCCACACACCCCACGACGCTGCGCAGCGTAAAGGCGAGGGGCGACCTTTCCAAGGCCCACAGCCTCACGTGTGTGGGGACGGTTGTGGGGACGGACACGAGGCAGCGCCGGTGGCGCAGGCAGCCGCAGTATACCCTCTAGCGAGCGTCGAGGACGGAGTTGACGCCCAGGGCCAGAATGCCACAGGGGCATTTGAGGACATGACCTCTACGGCACCACCCCAGCCACTCCCACTGTTAACCTCGGAGGAATGTAATTGTCTCATTCACGAGATCAATGATGCCAAGAGTGCGGAATTCCGGGAGGCGTGGCAGGTTACTGTGGCGCACCTATTTGCGGTTGTCTTCAACGCGCTACCGGCCGATCGGGAGCGGCTTGCGCCACAAAAGGTTCGATACCCGAAATTGCAGTCAGGGTAACGTGTGCTGCTGACCGCTTTTTTTTATGGAGGCATGCTTTAAAGTGTGCTCGTTATATTGATGAGAGCGGTATGCTACAAGCATCAGTCAAGACATCCTCAACACCACATGGATGATCAGTACTGTTTTGGAGCGCTTGACGAGTAAACTGCGCTGGGCAAAGCCTTCCGTCCTCAATCAATGGACGGCGAAGATTTTGGCGGACCAAATTCCCACACAGGGCCAACACTCCACGGCAGCAGCGGCTAGATATGAGCAGTACATGTTCAACCCAGCGAAAGGCTCTCCTCAGGAGCGCGTCCGGCTGAGAGCAATCTGCGCGGAGAAGCGTGGACTAGTGTACACGCGACAGTTACAAGACGGCACTAAGTGTAACGGGGTGAATCGTTACATGACAATTTATAAGAAATTGTTAATAGAATATAACTATAAGAGTTATATTCTCAGAATATTGTCATAAGGACAAATATTCTGTAGCACTTACGAGTAGTTCCTATTTGGTTGATATAGGCCATTATATCAACCAACGAAGACGCGCCACGACAGACGCACGCAATGAGTGGTGAGCAGATAGTTGACATGCACATTTGTATTTAGACATAGTTAGATGAGGATGAATAGTGATTTATTAACAGACACTAACTATGATAAATACAGTTCTACTTTTTACTTAAACTAAGTACTCGCTTCTTCTTACCGTCTTCCTCTGCACGTACGAGTGTACGTGAAGTTACGAGGCACCGCCTTATTCTGTCATCAGAATAAGTAGCTTGTACTGTCACCAGTACAAGCTTCAGGGTGACCCGTTACACCTGGTAGCACTTCGTAGTCCGTCCAAGGACCGCGTTCACATCCAACATGAATGTGTTGGATGATGAAGATGACCAAAGCTTTCACGCTACGCGTGACGGCTACTCCCATTTGAGCGATGTCGAATGGGATGCGGCTGAACGGATGGGTTCAACCATGGGCATCCATGCTGTTAGCGTCATGCTAGAGGCTCTTAATAGAGATGCCCAACATGCTACTATCGCCAAGTTCATTCAAAAAGAACTTGACGCTGAACGCGAGAAAGTAGCCTTGCTTCACCAACAAGGTTCTCAACAAGCAGAGTTGTTGAGAGAACAGGGTGCTCAACAGTTTGAACTGTTGAGACAGCAGCAGCCTGCTGCTGGTGGGTCGATGCACTCGCGTCGACCCGAGACCTTAAAGATTGACATCTCCAAGTATAGGGGAGTTGAAGAGGACTCCCTCTTGAGATGGTTCGTCGAATTGGATGACGCCATAAGGGCGCGTCGCATCGACGACGGGGATATGCAAGTTGCACTTGCCCAGTCAAATCTGGCAGGACGTGCCAAGACTTGGGCACTGGGGCTCAAGTTGCACGACCCATATGCGTTTGGGTCGTTGGAAGTCTTCAAGTCGCGGCCCAGACAAACGTTTGAACCGCCTAGAGCTGAGTTCAGAGCTCGAACCGAACTCTTGAAGCTCAAACAGGGTAAGCGTGATGTGTACGCTCACGTGCAACATATACGACATCTTACGAGTTGTATAAGTTCCAATCCGGTGGATGAACACACGCTGGTTTCGGTGTTCATGCAGGGTCTTGCGGATGGTCCCGTCAAGACTCACCTGTTCCGGCTTGAACTAGATTCACTAGAACAAGCCATCACCATTGCGGAACAGGAAGACTTCAGTCTGAGACAGGCTCGCGCCAGCTCGACATCATATCGTCAACCGAGACGATATGACAACGGAGGTCCAGAGCCGATGGAACTCTGTTATGTAGAGAGCGAGAAGGCTCGCTCTACAGGCTACAAGAAGTTGCAGAGATGCAACAGATGTCAAAAGACAGGACACTACGCTTACGAGTGTAGTGCCCCTCGTCCAGTGTCTCGCGACACTGGGCGTAGTGACTGTCCACCCATGAGAAAGGGGCAGGGACGAGGGTCCGCTGTTGGTGCAAAGACGCAACAACGTGATGGACAGTCAAAAAACGGACAGGATCAGTAGATGCGGAGCACCCTACTGGTCTAGCAACGTCAAGAGAATTTGTAGGCCTCTTGATGAAGGTTGCTCCCAACACACAGACGTTGTGCGTTGCTGCTCTAGGTAATGAGATCTCACTCGTTAACTTGAAACTCGAAGTGACGAAAAAGTTGTCCCTTCGAGCTCTAGTCGATTGTGGGGCGTCCAACAATTTTGTGCAATGCCAATCGCTAGAAGATGGTCACTTTAAGTTCAGTGAATGTGACACACCTCCTACGAGGATGACGGTACGTCTTGCGACAGGCGCATCCGTAACCGTCATGAAGCGTATAGTGAAGATCCACTATACGCTAGAAGATACCCAATATGACGATGACTTTATCGTATTGGATTTGGATGACAAATTTGATGTCATCCTTGGAATACCGTGGCTCAGAAGGTACGAACCACGGATAAATTGGCAACATCGAACAGTAACGATGCCTGCCGCTTGTTCATCAGATGGCCATCTGATGAACGTTTTGGAGCGTCCACAAGCGTGTGGATGTACTACGAGTGAGTGCGATGGCCTCACTTGTGGTACGGTCGTTAGTACGACTGCACAAAACCTTAGTGTACCAAACGGTTACACTTCGGAGCAAATTTCCGGCGGCTGTGAGGAAACACAGGCTGCGCCGAAGGTCCACCACTCGAATAAGTCGGGTGGACTGGGACAAAGATGTATCCCTAGAGGGGAACATCTAGAAGAGAAACAATCGATCGCTCAGGTTAAGCGAAACGATAATCCTAGATCGACTGGAGAGTCTTTCGTAGAGGATCTCGCTGTGGTTGCGCAACCCCAGCTAGAGGAAGTAAAGGGAATAAGTCCCAAGATTACAAATACGGCGGAAATAAGTTCCCCGAAACCCGCGGGAATAAGTCCCCGGGAAGACGAAGGAATAAGTCCTTCGAAGCCTGAGGGAATAAGTCCCCAGGAAATGACAGAGACATTGAATGTCATAGTCAATAACGGATCATGTGTAGGCGCTTGTACACTTGATCTGATTGCGCCTCCGAAGTTAACTTCGGAGATCACTCAGTTGCCAACGCTCGAACATAAAAGGTTCTTGCGTGATCTGCGTAGTGGCAAAGTCAAGCAGATCTGCATACTCGTCGCTGACGACGAGTGTGTAACCGACATAAGGTCAGCAACAGTGTTTACTGAGAACGAGAGAGTTCTCAGTAGTTCATCTATGGACGAGAGTGTCCTAGATGAAAAGACACGAATTGAGCGATATGACTCCAAATCATGGGAATCGCTCAAGACAAATCCTCTCGATGAAGATTTGGTTGAATTCAAGGATGTATTCCCTGAAACTGTTCCGTGCGAATTACCGAAGGATAAAGGTATTCGACATGAGGTCGAGCTTTAACCAGGCTCGAAGTACTGTGTCATGAAGCAGTGGCCACTGCCTAGTGAACAAGTACTTGCGATCGACAAGTTCTTTGCCGATCGTTTAGCAGCGGGCCATGTGAGGGAATCAACTTCCCCACATAGCTCTCCGACCTTCTGTGTGCGAAAAGCAACAGGAGGGTGGTGGATAGTGCATGCATTTAACAAGTTGAATGTTGCAACGGTACCGGCTCAGACGCCGATACCGAGGAAGGACGTAATCATTGATGGTATGTCAAAGAGTACCATCTTTTCGTCCATGGATTTGATGGATGGCTTCTATCAAATCCTTATGCGGGAACGGGATACACCCTATACCGCAGTTAGCACGCCTAGCGGCATGCTCTGGGAATGGCTAGTAATGCCACAAGGGCTCAGTAATGCCCCTGCCACGTTCAACAGATGTGTATAACATCTGTTGAGGCCAGTACGAGAATTCGCGCCGAGTTATTTCGATGACGTCTTCATCCATAGTCGAGCTATGGATGGAAAGTCGGACGTTGAGGTTCACAAGTACCACGTCCGACAAGTTCTTACAATCATGCGAAAGCATCAATTGTATGCTAACCTCAAGAAGTGTAAATTTGCCGCAAGCGAAATACCACTTCTTGGGTGCATCGTTGGTAAGAACGGTGTACGTCCTGATCCCGGAAAGATCAAGGCGATCACCGACTGGCCTGTGCCGGTCGATGTCAAAGGTCTTCGAAAATTCCTTGGGCTAGCGGCGTATTTGCATAAGTATTCACGCAATTACGCCGAGATGACCGTACACCTCTCTCTTTTGTTGAAAACGAACGAGAGGTGGTTATGGAACGCTGAATGTCAACGCTCTTTTGAGGGTATCAAGCAGAGCTTGATACAATCCCCAGTCCTAGCAATAGCCGATCAAGATAGGCCATTTCATGTGGTCTGTGATGCCAGAGATGTCGCAATCGGCTGTGCATTAATGCAGTACGATCTTGAAGGCGTTGAACGCGTCGTCTGCTATCAGTCGCGTCAGCTGCAACCAGCTGAGCGGAACTATCCAGTGCATGACAAGGAACTCCTTGCCATGAAGTATGCACTCGAGAAGTTCAGAGTCTATCTATTAGGAGATAGACCCTTCGTTGTTTACACTGACCATGCGTCATTACGCACGGCAGTGAACAGCCCGCACCTTTCACAACGAATGGCGCGGTGGTTGTCATTCTTTGCGGAATACAACTTTACGGTCGAGTACAAACCAGGACGACTTAATGTCGTCGCTGATGCACTCTCACGTCGTCCCGACTTTGAAACAGTCGCGAAACCCAACAGTGAGACAGTCACTGTTGCGGTTATGACGTCCTCAGTCCCATCTACAACGTTGTATGATGATGTGAGGCGGGCATACGCCCAAGATGGTGAGATAGTGAAGTTGTTTTCACATCTCTCCCAACCATCCCGAGAATCGTTGAAACGATTGTCGCCTGCGTATTGATCTGCATCAGATCGATACACTACTCGTAACGGTTTACTGCATTGTACAGCCGTTTCTGGTGACACACCACGTGTTGTCATTCCAGATGACACTGATCTGCGTTTGCGGATCATGTTCGAGTATCACGATGCTCCTATAGGAGGACATCGTGGCCGAGAGAAAACAAATCTCACGGTAAGTCGAGACTTTTACTGGCCCCGCCAGTATCAGTTTGTGCGAAAGTATGTTCGCGCATGCGAAGTCTGCCAACGAGTGAAGTCAAGTCCTTCACTGCGTGCACCTTTACAGCCTCTACCGGTTCCGGCTGAGTGCTGGGAATCCATCTCAATGGATTTCGTCTTCGGGTTACCCAAAGACGCACGCGGGAATACGGGTATTCTCGTTTTTGTTGACAGATTCAGCAAAATGGTACACCTTGTGGCTGTACCAGAGACAATCACGGCAAGTGGCTGTGCTTGTGTCTTTATTGACACCATCTTCCGACTTCATGGGTTGCCCCGTGAACTCGTATCAGACAGAGATCCACGATTCACTGCTGATTTCTGGCGTTCCGTGTTCAAATCACTCGGAACGCGCTTGAAGATGTCAACATCTGATCATCCAGAGTCAGATGGTCAGACGTAACGTGCCAATCGTGTCCTCGAAGAGATACTTCGAGGATACGTACACTCCTTTAAGAGTTGGAGTGAGTTCTTGCCAATGGTAGAGTTTGCCATCAACAACTCGGTGCATGCGTCCACGACACATACACCGTTTTACGTGAATGGCTTGCGCCATCCGCGTGTACCCACCTTACTAGAGTGTAACTCTGGTTTAAGGGGGGGGAGGGACTCGCGCGAGCAAAAACCGATTTGGTTCACGCTCATCACGCTCTGACGAAGGAGTCATTGCGTTTGATGCCGATATCGATAACATCGATATCGAAGAAGATGATGCCAGTGAGAGTGCGGAAGCCCTCACTCAAGACAATGATCCCAGTGAGAGTGCGGAAGCCCTCACTGAAGAAACGATTGATGTTGCTGCAGTGCGCTCACAGCACACTGAAGCTAACGAGTCATCAGATGAGTTCATACTGGCTCGTGAAACGGTAGTCCGTTTTGTGCAAGACTCCATCGCCGAAGCGGTGGATAAGCAAAAGCAAAACGCTGACAAGAATGGAAGGGCAAACACTCTTTTATTCGATAAAGGTGACTTAGTCCTACTGTCTACGGTTAATCTACCAAAGCATGTAGTGACTAACCTGGGTAGCAGTAAACTACTACCCAAGTACATTGGCCCATTTCGTGTATTGCACCGCCTAGGCAATGCATACACGATCGAGTTACCACGTAAGATGCGAACGCATCCCACGTTTTACGTTGGTCGGCTTAAGCCGTACCATCAGTACGCTTCTTCTTACGATGAAGAACGCCCTTGCGCTCAAGCATCTCGCAGAGAGCCTTGTGCTCCCGATGGTGGGCATCAACAAGAGTCTGAAGAGCAGTTATCTCAGCCCGAGACCGATCAACAATCCCACGAGCTACCCTTAGCTCGTCACGAAGAGATGTCAGAGATCTCTCGTTCTCAAGCTGAGCAAAGGCAAACTCAGCTCGATGCTTTGAGACAGTGTCCGCCATTTGGAGACGCCTGTCCCGCTCATGCTCGAGATCGTCGCGTAACTCTTGCGTTACGCGATCAAAGAAGCTCTCGGGAACACACCGATCCACATGATCGTGTGGAGAGCGTCTTTCCTCCTCCTCCACCTCCATTAGAGGACTCTCGCGGTGGCCAGCGCTATCTAGTTGAGCAGCTGTTGAACCACCGCGACGTGAACGGACGTCGGACGAGTTATCTCGTCCGGTGGCGCGGCTATCCCCCGTCCTGGGATACTTGGGAGCCCCGCTCCCAACTGATAATCGACGTACTGGGTCTGGTTGAGCAGTACGACGCGGCACATCCTGTGCCGCAGAAGGACCGCCGGAGAAAGTCTTCCCGGCACGGTCGTAAAGGGATTTCAGGTTGTCAATCCCTTCGTACATCTCAGTAGAGACACTTACGCGCCACCACGGGCTGGTAAGGAGGTAAGCCTCCTTAGGTGCTCGTGCAGAGTTGTTCACACAACATGGGCACGGGTCTCCCAAAGAGAGGCAGGGTAATCCTTTCTCCCTTGACAGACGATGCAGCTTGTAGCGTGCACCTGTTGGGGTTCGCTTTTCAAACTTATCACGAGCTTTGATAAGTTTGTCGTTCCAAGCGTCACGACCTACATCCTCGAGGTTATGGATGTAGGCGTTCCACGCTTGAAGTAGTGAGGGACCATCACGTTTGTGATTCCCACTGTACCATCGATGTCTGAAGAAAGCATCCATGAAGAATTCGTGTTCAGCGCGATAGTCTTTCGCGCTGGGGTCAAGGTGATGGATCCTTGACGAATCGAACAATCGTGTTCGATAACGATCACTCGTCGTCGCCGACAAGTGATCCATGACAGATTTCGGAGGCATCCATGCCTTCTTTTCTGGGGCGAGACGCAACACATTGCGGTCCCGCTCTTCCTGCGACGTGCCGACAGAAGTACTGGCACCTCGCTGTGAAGTGGTGTTTATTGGAGAACCGACACCACTATTAGCGCCTGAGTCTCGCGACCTCGAGCGCCTTCGCTCGGCGATGGTTCATCTGATTCATCAGATGAACCAAAGATGCTGCGACGCAAAGCATCGTCCATGCCACGCTTGGCAGGCGGCTTAGATTCAATCGCCGTCGATACGGATCCATCATCCGTATCAGGAGAGTACGAGACACCGAGCTCGTACTCTGTGAAGACACGAGTGTCTTCATGACCAGCGCCTGCATCACCAGGTGACACAGGCTGGGTCGCTTCAGCAGCCGATGAGACATCGGTTGCAGCGGTTTCTGCTTCAGCGTCTGCACAGAGACAGGCAGACGCGCTCTCAGCTGCCTTGTTCGCGCACCGCATGGGCTTGGTTACTATGCGATGAAATTAATGGACTGTGGACTCGAACCAACAAGTGCAAACCCTGTCCCAAATGATTTGGGACGAGTATCCATTTAGTCAATCAGTCCCTAGAGTGACTGATGGTTAGGGGGGGAGTGATGTAACGGGGTGAATCGTTACATAGCAATTTATAAGAAATTGTTAATAGAATATAACTAGAAGAGTTAAATTCTCAGAATATTGTCATAAGGACAAATATTCTGCAGCACTTACGAGTAGTTCCTAATTGGTTGATATAGGCCATTATATCAACCAACGAAGACGCGCCACGACAGACGCACGCAATGAGTGGTGAGCAGATAATTGATTTACACATTTGTATTTAGACATAGTTAGATGAAGATAAATAGTGATTTATTGCAGACATTAACTATTATAAATACAGTTCTACTTTTTACTTAAACTAAGTACTCGCTTCTTCTTACCGTCTTCCTCTGCACGTACGAGTGTACGTGAAGTTACGAGGCACCGCCTCATTCTGTCATCAGAAAAAGTAGCTTGTACTGTCACCAGTACAAGCTTCAGGGTGCCCCGTTACATTAAGGATGAATGAAAATTCATGGCGGCAGGGGATATCGTGGGTCGACGTCTTCCCCCGTTTTTGGTCAGTATCTTTAACCACTCAAAGCTGCTCCGATTCCACAGCACTATCCAGGCGCAGGTTGAAGAGGTCTTAAGCTTTCGGCTCAGCGGTGAATGCACCTTGCCGACCAGCCGGCGCCACACGCAGGCGTTTAAGGAGGACATCTTGGCAGCAGCTAAGAGAACGCACATAAACCTGCACCGTCTGCACGATCCTCTTCGTAAAATGAAGACGATGAGTTATGATGAGGTCTCGAACCTTACTCATCTCTTCTTTTTCGATCGTGCAACGGCGCAGAAATTCTAATTGACGGTAATACCGTACCAAGCGCATGGTGTATCGGTTGCACAACAAGCACAGAGAGTCCGCGCGGTCGGCGTGGGACAGAAACAATGTTCTTTCTAATTCGCGACATCGCAACATGGAGTATAAAATACGCCTATACAACGTATCACAATTTGTGAAAATCAGTAAATATTTCTGCGTTCATCAGCAAGCATAGTCCTGTAGCACATGTCCTGGAGAACATGGATACGTACACACAGGATTTTCAAACCTCGAACGTCTGGAAGCTTAACTTTCGACTGTCCGGCTGTCCGGAGTTCCTACAAGGAATCGTGAGGCTTGAATGGTTTGGCATTATGATCTTCATAAAGCATCCGGTGGTAGGTCGGCAACTTCAGTGCTTTAAGTGCGGCACGCTTGGTCATACCATCGCACGCTGTGGTTATACTGCCGAACAACTGCGTGGTGACGGCTGTTTGATGGCAACGGAGCAAGAAATTGTGGCACTGGACGACGTGGCCAAGCCTTTTGCCACGCCGGCAGAAATAAAAGAGGCGGCAACCCTTTGACGCCGTATTCATCAGGAGACGGATGAGGTTTTTCAGGACCTTACAACCGCATCCTACTTCGGAAGACAATGTCGCATCGGATTCAGAGGCTAGACCAACTATGAAGGCCTCTCCTGCCGATTTGCTGCGCATCCCGCTGTAGCAACGATTCCTGTCGCTGTGCATATAACACCTAAGACTAAACCAAGGGCTGCGTGGATTACGGTTCGTATCCGGGGAAGCCAAAGCGGGCCGACTCAGCGACGTCAGAGACCACTTACCCTGTCACGCGGATTGACACGGTATGATGTGCTGGCTAGTCATGAGGATGAAGAGGTCTCTGAGGAAGAGGCGTTGACCCAGAAGATAGAGGACCAGAAAGTAGAGCCCATGGAAGTGTCGGTCCCAGCGGAGCCGTCAACGCTCCACATACCGAATGCGTCGAAGCACGCCCTGTTATGTATTCTGAAGAAAAACCCACCGGTTCTTTCGTAAGAGCCAAAATTATTCGGCCTTAAACAGCGAGAACGCAACGACCTCTTCAGCTGAATCCGACCGAGCAGTTCACAAGCGCAATTCCGGTAGAGTTGCCCCGGCAGAACGAATAAAGTTTTTGCTCGGTAGACGAGATGGCGCATCTACTAAGGCATATACCGGTCGCTACTCCGGCTAGAGGGAAGTGTTTGGCAATGGCCATCGTGCAATCACTATGTGATTCGGCCCTGGAGGGGCAGGACGAACTCATGGTAGCGGTAACAACTGGTCTTAGAGGAGGGAATGTGTAAGAGGGCCAACTGCATCTGAATGAGCAATTTCCTCACGACACGCGAGTCGCGACACTCATCGGCGTTCGCCGGGACTGGTTGAGCATGAATGAAGTGCTTGTAAAGAAATGATTTCGGTGGTATCCAGAATGATATACCAAAAGTGCGTCGGGACGATAGGACCTTGTCCATGTCTACAACTAGGGGGGCTGTGAGATTCTTGGGCTTGCGGCAAATTATTTACGCCGGGACATTTAAGTACTGGCTTAAAAAGGAAACTACTGGCAACAATTGGAGATATGGTCTTTATAGGGATAGATCTTTTCACTCGGCGGGGGAAAATCATCAAGCGGGGGGAACAGCTCGTGCTCACTGCGGCTAAATGCTATTAACAGATTGCGTTGGGCAAGCAACCAGCCGAAGGTACTATCCCTCTCGTCTTACGCTATCGCAACGGCCATTATCCGGCGTTTGTTCACTTTCGAAAAACACCACCACTTGCACGTTGGAGCTATTCCTTAGATCCAGCTGGTCTCACTCAGCGCCAGTCCGCCGAGTCAGACGTGATCATGACCGAGAATATGGAGGATATACTGGAGAAGCCAAAGCTGGACATCTAAGAAGGATTCGCGGTGCGTCACTACAGCGACCATTTCGAGTACAAAGCGGCGGTGTCTCCCAATACTCACATGAGTGGGCTGCGCGTCCATTCTTGGCGGTTTTCGATTCCCCAGAGTCTGAAAGTTACCATAGACCAGGTCTTTGGCCTTCGCCGACCTGAGCGCTTTTCTGTCCTTCCTAACTTTCTCACCGCGACGGTTCCTGCACTGGAGATCGTGGATCAACAGCGACTAGCAAGCGTCGACATAACGGATATCACTAATATCGAGGTCGTCCAGCTTAAATAACACCACATTGCCACATGTGTCCTGCTTCAGTGGCAATATCTCGTGCGCGAAGTCGCGAGGCACCTGCTTCAAAACTATCCAAATGAGGAAAAACCAGCCGTTCAGGATATGATTGACGACTACCGTAACGTTACAGTCATCGCGATAACGGACCAGATGCTCCACGAATCCCGCGCACAGGCATTGATCACCACGCACGCCCACCAATCAGCCTTCTTAGCGGTATCGACCGAACAAATAATGTTGGCAGTGGACGACAGAATAGTTGCATGCAGGGGCCAGCAGAAACCCCAGAACGACGAATTAGTGGTCCCGTACCCGAAAACAGCGGCGACTGCGCAGACTGCCATCGTACAACCGGAAATCTTGTTGCTTACAAACGGGACCTGGTGGGACATGTGGCTATCGTTGGGAAAGACTTGGCCGACGCATACCCGGGACGAATATTCTACGCTCCAAAGTACTACGGAGGAATGGAGACGAGCAGTGAAATCTGCTCCTGTGAAGCTGATGCTGCTGCTTCTGGATCTCCATCTTAGGATTCCCTCTTGGATGCCCTCAATGCGCTGGTGCTCGTGGCTTAGACAGCCGCCTGGCGGTGCGACTGCATGTATCAGGGTCTCGGTACCTATTACCAACAGGTGACAAACCTCGCAACGAAAGCGTGGCTTGAACCGTGAAAAAACTCGTACGACTTGTGCGACATCTGAGCGAAAATTAGCCCCACTCGTCGACAATGCGGATGATTGGATTAAATTGCGCGCATGTGACTATGGCAGGGACGAGTTATTGTGGCTCTGCGACACCAGTACCAAATGTCACTTTGCACGACACGCCATTTGTGCGATTTTGCACAATGACGGAATTAAGGCACTAACAGGCAAAACAGAGGAGTATGACGGCGAAATTCCGGACCGCATTCGAAGACACCTAGCTTCTTTATTTTCCAGCGAGGGTTATTTACGAGCCTTCCGAGCACCAAGTCATGACAATACCTGGAGTGCGCTCCTTGAATTATTCGATCAGTCGCTAGCTCAAGAGTCCGTTCAACGGACTCATCGTTACTGAGGGATCCGCAGTAAGCGACGGGTTCGAGCTTTCGCCATCAATTAGGCAGCGTGATCTCTATACCGAACACTTGACTATGAAGCAGTAATTTTCGACCCCGGGAACTCCCTATATATAACACGGACGCGGTACTGACACCAACGTATAACACTCACAATATGTGAGGGGCTTTACGAAAAAGAATATTGATCTTGATGAGGGGGTGAAAACGGCAAGTAAAACGCCACAAGACTATATTGTGGGGTCTGCAGGAGACGCACAAAACCTCTGCGAGGGCAGCTCAGCTGGCTTCTAATACGTGGCGATCCGCTTGGGGCTTCCACAACGCTCACCACGATCGCCCTCAGTCCGTGACATCGTTTTGGAGTGAAAGCACGGAGGAATTTGGTGGGGTTGCAATATTGCTTGACCCGACAAAACAGCACGCAGTCATATAATGGTATCCTGAACTTTGGTCCAAACGGGTCATAGATGTCGTAGTCGATGAAGTCTTAGTGGTCAACATATATGCCCCCAACGACAGACGGGAGCGGGAACTCTTCTTTACCCTCCTTCAGGGGTGGCCATGGCCGGACACAGATGTGCTTTCCTTTAAAGACTTTAGTTGTGTCCAAAGTACTCATCTCGATCGGCTGGGTGGCTTGCGGTCTGGGCGACCGGAAAGTTTGCTTAAGCTCCGTTACTGAACGCTTCAGATCTGGGGGACGCCTCAACTCTGGCGTAGGCGGCGATGGACGACGAGGTCGTCAAGCCGACGGACTATTACACGTATTGGAATGCGCGGTCAGCAAGCAGGATCGACCGTTTCTATACACATAAGACTTGGACCACGACTGTTCAGCAGGTACAGGTGCGCCTGCCTGTCTTTCCCTCGGATCATCAACAAGTCACCTTGCACGTGGCAGACAACGGGTGGAGGCGGCATCAGCAAAGTACGGTCAAGCTCGTAGGGTATCCTATTCGCTCTACGACACCAGAGCGTGTCCACGCGGATCTATTACATGAGCTCATCCAAACCGAGGTAGGGCGCGACGTAACCTCCGGCACTTAAAAAACAGCTATTCAAAGCTGCAAAGACAGCATTTAGTGAATAAAAACACGAGAATTTCAACGAACGCGTCGATTGCGGCGCCGGGTCCTGGGACATGCGCGGGCTAATTTTATCACTCGCCACAGATTGATACAGATTATGCAGGAGGAGCCCCAGACAGCACAAATTATCAGACAGGAATAAGATTTGGAGTGGACTATGGATAGTCTCAGATGGCAGTAAGAACGGGTATCCAACTGGTAACGGGATCAATCTGTATTGGGTCTTGACCGATTAACGGCCGGCGCTTTCTACCGGGAGACACGGTAGCCAATCATTTCGCGTCCGAATGGACCCCGATCCTATGTAGGGCACACTACACTAACCTTCCCGGCGCCAGCGCTCAATCAGGCATTGCTCGATAGCTGCCGGCATATTGTGTTCTCTCCGCGGATGCTAGTGCGCTCTTGATTGACCACATAACGCTGGACGAAGTTCTTGCGGCAATTGCGTCACTAAATCGCAATAAAGCTGCAGGTTCTGACGGAATCAATAATGACTTCCTTTTAGTACTTTCAAGCGCTACTCGCTCCTGCGCTTGTCAATATCGGCAACGAATTACTGCAAGGCCGTACTCCGCCCTCCTTGGTTTTGGAAGGGTTGATATAACTACTTCGCAAGAAGAAAGATTCGAAAGACGCGATGAATTACTGACCGATCGCCTTGCCACAACAGGTTCTAAAGTTGTCGCGAAGGTGTTATTTCACAGAATCCAACAGGTGACTGGGGTGCTTATTCAGACACGCAACAGGTACTTGTTCACGGCCGACAAATGTCTAAAACGGTCATGATGATAATGCGCATTTAAGCTTGGCGCTGTCCAAATCTCAGTGTAGGATTACTGATAGCCGAGTCATCTTGCTTCTGGATTTCCGTGATGCATATGAAACCGTCTTGCGGGAATTCTAATTTGAGGTATTACGGTTCTTTGGCTTTGCGGAAGCACTTATACAGCTGATCCGCCATTTACTTGAAGGCACCACAGCGCGATACTTATTGAATGGAATGCTCTCATGCCCAATCCCTGTACTTACGGGGATCCGACAGGGCTGCCCGTTGGCTTCGCTGCTGTTTCTACTCGTAGCAGAGATACTGGCCATTCCCACACTTCAACATCTAGAAATCTGAGGGCCACTACGTCCCAGCTTTCCGGAAGAGAAGCAGGACTTTTCGACTTTTTTTTGACGAATTAACGGTTATTCTCGAGCAGGCGGATCATCTACCACAGGTGCTGACCATAGGGCAGCGATTCGGAGACCTCTCGGGGCTGTTTTTTCTACCAGCAAAAAGTGTGCTCATACATCTTGATACAGCGGTAGAGGTCACACAGTATGAAGAAATACCGGCACTCCAACATGGATATACGACACGATATCCCGGGTATCAGGTGGGTACTGGAGATCTCGTCAACGCGAATTGGGCTGTACGCATCCGGAACGTTCGCAAGCGGCTAGCGACAGCGTCCAGTATTTCGACGAGCGTCGCAGTCCGAATATTGCTGCTCAACACGATCATGCTTCCGGCCGTGCTCTTTATAGCGACGGTCTTCAGAATCCTTTGGTGGGCCAAAAAGGGATTGCACAATCTATAAAAGCAATTTCTCTGACAACGATCCACTTCAACTACAGGCATCAGGCATAAGGTCAATCCAGGATTGCTGTATACTACTCGTGGCGAGGGCAAAATTGTCTTTATTTCCATCGAAGTCGCAATCTGTACTCATAATATATAGCACGCCATGCAATGGTTGATTCACAAACGGAATTTCCATTATTACGCATGGCTGTCTGGACGTTTTTAGATATTGAGGCCTCAGCGAATTGGAGACTTTCACCGGTCTTCACTTACTCTCGAAGACGGCGTCTAGGCGATGGCTCTCAACTAGACATCCAAGCAGAAGTCAGTGCATGGATAGCCCCTGAAAAGGAAGAATGGATGAATATTTAACAGCATTGGCAAGGATCATTCCAGCGCCTCTGCGACAACCTCGTCGCCACTCGGGAGGGGCAGAATTCGCTTCTTCAGCAGTACGAAGATATACCGACGCTCACTAGATGCTACACTCAATAGCACAAGGTTGTTGGGCTACTTATCGATGGGATCAGAATCCTTGTGTAACGGGGCACCCTTTGTTTGGGTGCCACGAAACTTCAAGTACACTCGTACGTGCAGAGGAAGCTAATCTACCTAAAAACTATTTTGAGTAAAGGGTAAAAAGGTAACTGCATTTAATATTGTTAAGCCATCAATATAACTTCAATCTTTATCTAGCTCTATTAAACTACGTCGTCGCATGTCGACAAACTGCTCACCAGTCATTACGCGCGTCTAGCAGCGTTTGGTGGTAAAACCTATGGTTAATAAGTCTTATATAAACCAATTCTGTAGCAGCGAATGAAATCATCAAAAAAAAGGATAAAATTTCTTCAATACTATCCATCTCGCATAATATTGGTAGAATATTGTCATGCTAGACAAAATTCCTATTGACAGCGTTTGGTGTCGATTTCATGTAACGGGCTACCCCGTTACATCACCCCCCTCCTTAACCATTAATCACCCGTTAATTGAATTAAATTATTTGGGACAGGGTGATCGCCGTTGAATCACTCTAAGAAGTGAGCACTTGTTGGTCAAATTCCATTTATTTGCCAATCTGACGCAAGGCTTCGAAACCCATGCGATGTGCTGCCAAGAAGCAAGAAAGGCGGCTGCACGCATGCGTGCAACCGGAAAGAATACTTTTCACACCTCAGCATCAGGTAATTCGTCGCCTACTGCTGTGAATAGTCCACGTGGTGAGTCACCACGTGTGATAGGTATATCCGATGCGTCTGCAGCGGGTGCCGCGAATCGTAATCCAGATGAGTCTGAAATAGAGCTCATCTACACTGGCGAGTCGGATGATGTATCCGACTCGAAGGCAACACCCTCGTTTGCGTTTGCAAAACTTGAGAACGAACGTTCGACTCGTTCTCTTCGTGACGAGCTGGATGCAGCTCGTCAGGACATCGCTCTTCTGTGCGAGCAGGTCGCTTCGCTAGTCCACCAGACTGGCTCGTTGAAATGGGACCACTCGAAGGTGGTCTCGGCCCTCGACCGCGGAGGTGTTATTCGCATCTTGAAACGGGCGCGTACTGATATTACGGGCGGTGACGTCCAACGTAAAACGCAGGATGTGTACGCATCTTACGGGCAGTTCAATCGTGTATGCGTTGCCCATTCGGCGCAACACACAAAATGGACCGATGTACCTGGGCAGTTTTACTGCTGCCCATGTTTGTCACTGCGTGTTTCGGTAAGTTTACTGTAGGCATTAAAACTAAGTCTCCTTCATCAAATGAGAGAACATTTGCTCTTTCGTGTTTGTCTGCGTTTCTTTTCTGTTTTGTCTAGCGCATCTGCAAACGAGTCTTGAACGAAGCGGACAACCGCTTCGTGAGTCAGCAGAAATCCCTCTGCTGATTCATCCTTGACAACAGCAGTGCGCTTCGTTTGCACTGCTGAAAGAACGCTGTCTTCTCCAGTGAGAGTGTCATCGTCCTCACTTTGGCGGTCATTGGCGATGCTGAATATGCAAGCATCGTCGTCATCGTCATCGTCATCATCGATACCGATCCCATCGACATCGGCATCCATCATGTCGACACCATTGTCGACGGGTGATGAGCAAGAACCAGATCGGGTTTTGCTCGAGCGAGCCCCCCCTCATAAAGAGAATCACACTCTAAGAAGGCGGGTAAAAGTGGATGGCGTAGGCCATTCACAAAGAATGGTGTATGCGTTGTCGACGCATGCACCGAGTTGTTGATGGCGGATTCCACCATCGGCAAAAACTCACTACAACTCGTAAACGAGTGGACATACCCTCGATGTATCTCTTTGAGGATGCGGTTGACGCGTTCCGTCTGACTATCTGTTTCTGGATGGTCAGAAGTTGACATCTTTAAGCGTGTTCCAAGTGAAAGGAACACGGATTGCCAGCACTCCGCTGTGAAGCGGGGGCCCCTATCAGACACGAGTTCACGGGGTAACCCGTGAAGTCGGAAGATAGTATCGATGGAGACACGATCACAACACTGGGCTGTGATTGACTCCGGTACAGCAACAAGATGTACAATCTTGATGAACCTATCAACAAACACAAGAATACCAGTATTCTTTTGAGCGTCTTTGGGAAACCCGAAGATGGAGTCCATCGATACGGACTACCAGCACTCTGCCGGAACCCGTAGAGGCTGCAAGGGTGCACGTGATGAAGGACTAGGCTTCACCCTTTGGCAAAATTCGCAAGCGCGAATGTACTTGCGCACAAACTCGTACTGGCGGGGCCAGTAGAAGTCACGACTATCCGTGAGGCAAGTCTTTTCTCTACCGCGATGCCCACTTGTTGGGGCATCGTGGCATTCATATATGATGCGCAGTCACAAATCATCATGAGCTGGAACAACGACACTAGGTGTGTCACCTTCGACCGCTGTATAGTACAGCAGTCCATCACGAGCCGAATACCGTTCGGTTGAAGAGCGGTATTGAGACGACAAGCTTTTCAAAGCTTGACTGCATGGATTGGATATGTAATCCAATAACTGCAGAATAGACTTTTCTTCTGCGTATGCTTTTCGCACTTCGTCGAGCAGATTCGACGACGGAACACTCACTTTAGTGTTGCTACAGTGGGGTCGCCCCTAACGTTGTGTTGAGCAGTCGGCTCGAAATCGGGCCAACTTGAAAGAGCATCGGCGACGACATTAAGTCATCCTGGTTTATACTCGACGAAGAAGTTGTACTCCGCGAAGAAATACATCCACCTCTCCACTCGTTGCGAGAGGTGTGGACTCTTTACGGCCGTGCGTAACGACGCATGGTCGGTATACACGATGAAAGGCCTATCTCCTAAGAGATGTACCAGAAACTTAGCCAGTGCATATTTCATGGCAAAGAGTTCCTTGTCATGCACCGGGTAATTACGCTCAGCTGCTTGCAGCTGACGCGATTGATAACCGACGACGTGCTCAACGCCGTCTGAGTCGTACTGCATTAACGCGCAGCCGATCGCAAATCGCTGGCTTCATAGACCACATGAAATGGTCTGTCCTGGTCTGGAATTGCCAACAAAGGCGATTGTATCAAGCTTTTCGTGATTACTTCAAAGGAGTGCTGACACTCAGCACTCCATGACCACCTCTCGTTTTTCTTTAGCAGACGAGAGAGATGTACGGTCGTCTCGTCGTAGTCGCGCAAGTACTTGTGCAAGTACGCCGCTAATCCAAGGAAATTTCGAAGTCCTTAGATGTCGACTGGCACAGCCCAGTCGCTAATCGCCTTGATATTTTCCGGATCAGGGCGTACACCGTTTTTACCCACGATGCAGCCAAGAAGTGGTATTTTTCGCGCTGCGAACATGCACTTCTTAGGGTTAGCGAGCAACTGATACTTAAGCATTAGTGTAAGAACCTTCCGGGCGTGGATCCTATGAACCTCCACGTCCATCTTTCCATCCATAGCCCGGCTATGGACGAAGATATCGTCAAAGTAACTCGGTGCGAAAATCGTGCACCAATCGCAACAGATTCGTGTCACATCTGTTGACCGTTGCAGAGGACTTACTTAGCCCCTGTTCCATCACCAGTCACTCCCAAAGCATACCACTGGGGGTGCTCACTGCTTTGTACGGGATGTCCCGTTCACGCATGAGGATCTGATAGAATCCATCCATCAGATCCATGAACGAAAAGATGGTACTTTTTGCCATTCCATCAATGACCACGTCTTTCCTCGGTATCGGGATTTGATCCGGTACCGTTGCAGCGGTCAATTTGTTGAACGCGTGCACTATCCGCCACCCTCCTGTGGCCTTTCGCTCACAGAAGGTCGGAGAGCTGTGTCAAGATGTTGATTCCCTCACATGACGAGTAGCTAAGCGATCGGCGGTCAATTACTATGACCTGTTCGCGAGACAGTGGCCACTACTTCATGAAACAGTACTTCGAACCGGGTTTCAGTTTGATTTCATTCCGAGTGCCTTTTTCATTAGGCAGCTCGCATGGTACGGATTCAGAGAAAACATCCCTGAATTCAACCAAATCCTCAGACGATAAATTTGTCTTTAAAGACTCCCAAGATTGAGACGTGTATCGCTCAATCCTGGTCTTCTCATCGAGGACACTCTCGTCAATCGAAGAGCTACTGAGAACCCGTTCGTTCTCAGCAAACACTTGTGCCGACCGAATATCGGCGACGTACCCGTCCTCTGTGACGAGTACGCAGATCTGCTTGATCTTATCACTACGCAGATCTCGCAAGAATCTTTTAGATTCTAGCGCTGGCAACTTGACTACCTCCGAAGCTGACTTCAGAGGTGTCACCAGATCAAGTGTATAAGCGCCTACACTTGATCCGGCCATTCACCAAGACATTAACTGTCTCGGTGATATTGTGGGAAAACACATCCGCAGGTGGTTGGGGATCCACACCCTCAACATAACTATCTGGGGAGTTATCACTCTCAGGAACGCTGGAACTTTCTTCCAATACGTGTACTGACTGTGGGTGTAATACCATAGTCACGTCCTCTTCTATAGACTCTCTTTCAGTCGATCGGGCTTGCTCTACGATCGACTCTCTGGCAGTCGATCTTGCTTCAACGTGTTGTTCATCCTTAACAACACTAATATCTCTTCTCGGATGCACCCTTCTTGGTGTGCATCAGCGTTCCGGTCCACTCGATATCTTCGAGTGGTGAAGCTTCGGCACATCCTGTGTCTTCACACAGGCGCCGGAAGATGGTTCCATATTGTAGTGGACTTCTACACTGTGATCTTGTGCAGTCGTAATAACGACCGTACCGCAAGTGAGGCCATCGCACTCACTCGTAGTACATCCACACGCTTGTGGACGCTCCAAGACGTTCATCATATGGCCATCCGATGAACAAACGACAGGCATCATCACGGATCGATGCTGCCAGCTGATCCATGGCCAGTACTTTCTAAGCCAAGGCATACCGAGGATGACATCAAATTTGTCATCCGGATCCAGTACGATGGAGTCATCATCGTACTGCTTTCCTTCTAGCGTGTAGTGGATTCCCACTACACATTTGCTCACCGTTACGGACGCACCTACAGCAAGGAACACCGTCATCCTCGTTGGAGGTAACTCTCGCTCAACATAGTTGAGCCTACTATCCTCTAGCGACTGGCGTCGAATAAAACTGTTCGACGTCCCAAAGTCAACTAGGGCGCGAAGTGATATTCCACTTGTCACTTCGATCTTCAAAGGGATGAGGGACACCTCATCACTAGGGGCAGTAACACACAGCGACTGTGTGTTGGGAGCAATCTTCGTCAAGAGTCCTGCAAATTCTCTTGACGTTTCTGGATCAGCAGGGTGCTCCGCCCCTACTGACCCTGTCCGTTTTTTGGCGGCCGTACTTGCTGTCGCGGCTTAGCGACATGGTCGGACCCGCGCCTTGAACCTTTCTTTGGCCAACGGCGGTCATCACGTCCTGTATTCGGACGTGTTGCGGTGCTTGTGAAACTACACTCATGAGCGTAGTGTCCAATCTTCTGACAGCGATGACATCTTGCCGTTCGCTTGTGACTCAGAGAGCGAGAGTTCTCGCTCTGGATGTAAAAGAGACACATGGTTCGGGACCTCTTGTTTCCTGTCGTCTCGTCGGACGATAGTTTGACGAGTTAGCCTGAGACTTTCTCAGGCTGAAGTCTTCTTGTTCCTCACACGCTATCGCCTTTTCCAGCGTATGGAAGTCCTCTCGGTACATGTAGGTCTTCACCGACCCATCTACAAGTCCGTAGATGAACACGTTGATGAGCGTGTGCTCATCAACAGGATTTTCCGTGGCGCTACTCGCAAGGTAGCGTAGGTGTTGTGCGTAAGCGTGCATGTCACGTTTACCTTGCTTTAGCCTCAAAAGTGCAGAGCATGCTATGAACTCGGCTCTCGGCGGCGCAAACGTCTCTTTCAGCCGAGACTTCAAAATCTCCAACGACTCAAACACGTTTGGGTCGTGAAGCTTGAGCCCTAAGGCCCAAGTCTTTGCTCGTCCTGTCAAATTTGACAGGGAGAAGGTGACTTGCATCTCGTCACCCTCGATGTGACGGGCCCTGATGGCGTCGTCTAACTTGACAAACCATCTTAAAAAGGAATCTTCATCGGTTCCCTTGTACCTTGAGATATTAATATTCAAGGTTTTGGGTCGACGCATGTGCGTCGGCCCGCCCATCGACTGATGAGAGCCATGCTGTTGTAGCAAGGCTATCTTCTGTCTTTCGACTGCAATTTCCTCTTGTAGGAAGTCGTTGATAGTAGCATGTTGCTGGTCTCTGCTTAGAGACTCCAACATGCCACTGATGGCAGGTTCGCCCATGAGCACACTCAAGCGGCCTACTAAATCCCATTCTTAGTCACTAATATGGGAGTAGCCTTCACATGTGACGTGAAAGCTGTCGTCTTTACGTCCAACATGTTCATGTTGGACGGACACTAAGTAGTCGTTGGACGGACTACGAAGTGCTACCAGGTGTAACAAGGCACCCTTTTGCTAGGGTGCCAAGAAACCTCACGTACAGTAGAAATTATTAATTAATGCAACTTATTAAATTTACGTGCAGAGGAAGTTAATCTACTCAACAACTAAGCTGAGTAAAAGGTGAACAGAGAACTGTATTTAATACAGTTAAGCCATCAATACAACTTCAGTCCTTATTTAACTATACAAATCTACATTGTGGGGTAGCCCATTACATGATATTGAAACCAAACGGTTCCAATACGGATATTGTCTAGCGTGACAATTACCTTTCAATATGATACGATGTGTATAACATTGAAGGAATATTACCCCCTTGTAGGATAATTTTTCATGCGCTTCTCAAAGATTGGCTGATAAAAGACTTATCAACCATAGGTTACCACCAATCGCTGCTAGACGCGCGTAATTAGTGGTGAGCAAGTTTCGTCATACGACGACGTAGTTGTGAAGAGTTAGATAAGGAATGAAGTTGTATTGATGGCTTAACTGTATTAAATACAGTTCTCTGTTCACCTTTTACTCAGCTTAGTTGTTGAGTAGATTAACTTCCTCTGCACGTAAATTTAATAAGTTGCATTAATTAATAATTTCTACTGTACGTGAGGTTTCTTGGCACCCTAGCAAAAGGGTGCCTTGTTACACCTGGTAGCACTTCGTAGTCCGTCCAACGACTACTTAGTGTCCGTCCAACATGAACATGTTGGACGTAAAGACGACAGCTTTCACGTCACATGTGAAGGCTACTCCCATATTAGTGACTAAGAATGGGATTTAGTAGGCCGCTTGAGTGTGCTCATGGGCGAACCCGCCATCAGTGGCATGTTGGAGTCTCTAAGCAGAGACCAGCAACATGCTACTATCAACGACTTCCTACAAGAGGAAATTGCAGTCGAAAGACAGAAGATAGCCTTGCTACAACAGCATGGCTCTCATCAGTCGATGGGCGGGCCGACGCACATGCGTCGACCCAAAACCTTGAATATTAATATCTCAAGGTACAAGGGAACCGATGAAGATTCCTTTTTAAGATGGTTTGTCAAGTTAGACGACGCCATCAGGGCCCGTCACATCGAGGGTGACGAGATGCAAGTCACCTTCTCCCTGTCAAATTTGACAGGACGAGCAAAGACTTGGGCCTTAGGGCTCAAGCTTCACGACCCAAACGTGTTTGAGTCGTTGGAGATTTTGAAGTCTCGGCTGAAAGAGACGTTTGCGCCGCCGAGAGCCGAGTTCATAGCATGCTCTGCACTTTGAGGCTAAAGCAAGGTAAACGTGACATGCACGCTTACGCACAACACCTACGCTACCTTGCGAGTAGCGCCACGGAAAATCCTGTTGATGAGCACACGCTCATCAACGTGTTCATCTACGGACTTGTAGATGGGTCGGTGAAGACCTACATGTACCGAGAGGACTTCCATACGCTGGAAAAGGCGATAGCGTGTGAGGAACAAGAAGACTTCAGCCTGAGAAAGTCTCAGGCTAACTCGTCAAACTATCGTCCGACGAGACGACAGGAAACAAGAGGTCCCGAACCAGTGTCTCTTTTACATCCAGAGCGAGAACTCTCGCTCTCTGAGTCACAAGCGAACGGCAAGATGTCATCGCTGTCAGAAGATTGGACACTACGCTCATGAGTGTAGTTTCACAAGCACCGCAACACGTCCGAATACAGGACGTGATGACCGCCGTTGGCCAAAGAAAGGTTCAAGGCGCGGGTCCGACCATGTCGCTAAGCCGCGACAGCAAGTACGGCCGCCAAAAACGGACAGGGTCAGTAGGGGCGGAGCACCCTGCTGATCCAGAAACGTCAAGAGAATTTGCAGGACTCTTGACGAAGATTGCTCCCAACACACAGTCGCTGTGTGTTACTGCCCCTAGTGATGAGGTGTCCCTCATCCCTTTGAAGATCGAAGTGACAAGTGGAATATCACTTCGCGCCCTAGTTGACTTTGGGACGTCGAACAGTTTTATTCGACGCCAGTCGCTAGAGGATAGTAGGCTCAACTATGTTGAGCGAGAGTTACCTCCAACGAGGATGACGGTGTTCCTTGCTGTAGGTGCGTCCGTAACGGTGAGCAAATGTGTAGTGGGAATCCACTACACGCTAGAAGGAAAGCAGTACGATGATGACTCCATCGTACTGGATCCGGATGACAAATTTGATGTCATCCTCGGTATGCCTTGGCTTAGAAAGTACTGGCCATGGATCAGCTGGCAGCATCGATCCGTGATGATGCCTGTCGTTTGTTCATCGGATGGCCATATGATGAACGTCTTGGAGCGTCCACAAGCGTGTGGATGTACTACGAGTGAGTGCGATGGCCTCACTTGTGGTACGGTCGTTATTACGACTGCACAAGATCACAGTGTAGAAGTCCACTACAATATGGAACCATCTTCCGGCGCCTGTGTGAAGACACAGGATGTGCCGAAGCTTCACCACTCGAAGATATCGAGTGGACCGGAACGCTGATGCACACCAAGAAGGGTGCATCCGAGAAGAGACATTAGTGTTGTTAAGGATGAACAACACGTTGAAGCAAGATCGACTACCAGAGAGTCGATCGTAGAGCAAGCCCGATCGACTGAAAGAGAGTCTATAGAAGAGGACGTGACTATGGTATTGCACCCACAGTCAGTACACGTATTGGAAGAAAGTTCCAGCGTTCCTGAGAGTGATAACTCCCCAGATAGTTATGTTGAGGGTGTGGATCCCCAACCACCTGCGGATGTGTTTTCCCACAATATCACCGAGACAGTTAATGTCTTGGTGAATGGCCGGATCAAGTGTAGGCGCTTATACACTTGATCTGGTGACACCTCTGAAGTCAGCTTCGGAGGTAGTCAAGTTGCCAGCGCTAGAATCTAAAAGATTCTTGCGAGATCTGCGTAGTGATAAGATCAAGCAGATCTGCGTACTCGTCACAGAGGACGGGTACGTCGCCGATATTCGGTCGGCACAAGTGTTTGCTGAGAACGAACGGGTTCTCAGTAGCTCTTCGATTGACGAGAGTGTCCTCGATGAGAAGACCAGGATTGAGCGATACACGTCTCAATCTTGGGAGTCTTTAAAGACAAATTTATCGTCTGAGGATTTGGTTGAATTCAGGGATGTTTTCTCTGAATCCGTACCATGCGAGCTGCCTAATGAAAAAGGCACTCGGAATGAAATCAAACTGAAACCCGGTTCGAAGTACTGTTTCATGAAGTAGTGGCCACTGTCTCGCGAACAGGTCATAGTAATTGACCGCCGATCGCTTAGCTACTCGTCATGTGAGGGAATCAACATCTTGACACAGCTCTCCGACCTTCTGTGAGCGAAAGGCCACAGGAGGGTGGCGGATAGTGCACGCGTTCAACAAATTGACCGCTGCAACGGTACCGGATCAAATCCCGATACCGAGGAAAGACGTGGTCATTGATGGAATGGCAAAAAGTACCATCTTTTCGTCCATGGATCTGATGGATGGATTCTATCAGATCCTCATGCGTGAACGGGACATCCCGTACAAAGCAGTGAGCACCCCCAGTGGTATGCTTTGGGAGTGACTGGTGATGGAACAGGGGCTAAGTAAGTCCTCTGCAACGGTCAACAGATGTGACACGAATCTGTTGCGATTGGTGCACGATTTTCGCACCGAGTTACTTTGACGATATCTTCGTCCATAGCCGGGCTATGGATGGAAAGATGGACGTGGAGGTTCATAGGATCCACGCCCGGAAGGTTCTTACACTAATGCTTAAGTATCAGTTGCTCGCTAACCCTAAGAAGTGCATGTTCGCAGCGCGAAAAATACCACTTCTTGGCTGCATCGTGGGTAAAAACGGTGTACGCCCTGATCCGGAAAATATCAAGGCGATTAGCGACTGGGCTGTGCCAGTCGACATCTAAGGACTTCGAAATTTCCTTGGATTAGCGGCGTACTTGCACAAGTACTTGCGCGACTACGACGAGACGACCGTACATCTCTCTCGTCTGCTAAAGAAAAACGAGAGGTGGTCATGGAGTGCTGAGTGTCAGCACTCCTTTGAAGTAATCACGAAAAGCTTGATACAATCGCCTTTGTTGGCAATTCCAGACCAGGACAGACCATTTCATGTGGTCTATGAAGCCAGCGATTTGCGATCGGCTGCGCGTTAATGCAGTACGACTCAGACGGCGTTGAGCACGTCGTCGGTTATCAATCGCGTCAGCTGCAAGCAGCTGAGCGTAATTACCCGGTGCATGACAAGGAACTCTTTGCCATGAAATATGCACTGGCTAAGTTTCTGGTACATCTCTTAGGAGATAGGCCTTTCATCGTGTATACCGACCATGCGTCGTTACGCACGGCCGTAAAGAGTCCACACCTCTCGCAACGAGTGGAGAGGTGGATGTATTTCTTCGCGGAGTACAACTTCTTCGTCGAGTATAAACCAGGATGACTTAATGTCGTCGCCGGTGCTCTTTCACGTTGGCCCGATTTCGAGCCGACTGCTCAACACAACGGTAGGGGCGACCCCACTGTAGCAACACTAAAGTGAGTGTTCCGTCGTCGAATCTGCTCGACGAAGTGCGAAAAGCATACGCAGAAGAAAAGTCTATTCTGCAGTTATTGGATTACATATCCAATCCATGCAGTCAAGCTTTGAAAAGCTTGTCGTCTCAATACCGCTCTTCAACCGAACGGTATTCGGCTCGTGATGGACTGCTGTACTATACAGCGGTCGAAGGTGACACACCTAGTGTCGTTGTTCCAGCTCATGATGATTTGTGACTGCGCATCATATATGAATGCCACGATGCCCCCCAACAAGTGGGCATCGCGGTAGAGAAAAGACTTGCCTCACGGATAGTCGTGACTTCTACTGGCCCCGCCAGTACGAGTTTGTGCGCAAGTACATTCGCGCTTGCGAATTTTGCCAAAGGGTGAAGCCTAGTCCTTCATCACGTGCACCCTTGCAGCCTCTACGGGTTCCGGCAGAGTGCTGGTAGTCCGTATCGATGGACTCCATCTTCGGGTTTCCCAAAGACGCTCAAAAGAATACTGGTATTCTTGTGTTTGTTGATAGGTTCAGCAAGATTGTACATCTTGTTGCTGTACCGGAGTCAGTCACAGCCCAGTGTTGTGATCGTGTCTTCATCGATACTATCTTCCGACTTCACGGGTTACCCCGTGAACTCGTGTCTGATAGGGGCCCCCGCTTCACAGCGGAGTGCTGGCAATCCGTGTTCCTTTCACTTGGAACACGCTTAAAGATGTCAACTTCTGACCATCCAGAAACAGATAGTCAGACGGAACGCGTCAACCGCATCCTCAAAGAGATACATCGAGGGTATGTCCACTCGTTTACGAGTTGTAGTGAGTTTTTGCCGATGGTGGAATCCGCCATCAACAACTCGGTGCATGCGTCGACAACGCATACACCATTCTTTGTGAATGGCCTACGCCATCCACTTTTACCCGCCTTCTTAGAGTGTGATTCTCTTTATGAGGGGGGGGCTCGCTCGAGCAAAACCCGATCTGGCTCTTGCTCATCACCCGTCGACAATGGTGTTGACATGATGGATGCCGATGTCGATGGGATCGGTATCGATGATGACGATGACGATGACGACGATGCTTGCATATTCAGCATCGCCAATGACCGCCAAACGAGACGATGACACTCTCACTGGAGAAGACAGCGTTCTTTCAGCAGTGCAAACGAAGCGCACTGCTGTTGTCAAGGATGAATCAGCAGAGGGATTTCTGCTGACTCACGAAGCGGTTGTCCGCTTCGTTCAAGACTCGTTTGCAGATGCGCTAGACAAAACAGAAAAGAAACGCAGACAAACACGAAAGAGCAAATGTTCTCTCATTTGATGAAGGAGACTTAGTTTTAATGCCTACAGTAAACTTACCGAAACACGCAGTGACAAACATGGGCAGCAGTAAAACTGCCCAGGTACATCGGTCCATTTTGTGTGTTGCGCCGAATGGGCAACGCATACACGATTGAACTGCCCGTAAGATGCGTACACATCCTGCGTTTTACGTTGGACGTCACCGCCCGTAATATCAGTACGCGCCCGTTTCAAGATGCGAATAACACCTCCGCGGTCGAGGGCGAGACCACCTTCGAGTGGTCCCGTTTCAACGAGCCAGTCTGGTGGACTAGCGAAGCGACCTGCTCGCACAGAAGAGCGATGTCCGACGAGCTGCATCCAGCTCGTCACGAAGAGAACGAGTCGAACGTTCGTTCTCAAGTTGCTCGAACGCAAACGCGGGAGATCATTTGAACGATCGTGCACTAAGAAATTGTAATTATTCGTTGCAATGTCATGGAGCTTGTAACGCCGAGTCCGTTCATGATCCAGGATATCGTGTAGCTGTTCCGTTACACGGTTTAGTTCCTGAACATCAAGCTGATCCGACCGCCGAGCCGGATCAGGTGGTCCCGCCACCACCACATCCTTTAGTGGACTCAAGCGGTCGTCAACGCTTTCTGGTGGAGCATACCTTGAGCTACCGCGACGTGAATGGCGCCCGGACGAGTTATCTCGGTTGCTGGTGTGGCTATCCACCGGCCTGGGACAGCTGGGATTCTCGTGCCCAGCTGATCGTAGATATTCCGGGTCTCGTCGAGCAATATGACGAGACCCACGCGCTGCGGTCGAAGAAGGGCCGTCAGAAAACGACCTCCACGAACGCGAGTACAGGGATTGCAAAGTATCAATCCCTTCGGCCATCTCAGAAGAGATGCGCGCCCTCCAGTAGGGATCATTAGAGATGTAGGCCTCCCTAGAGGCACGGCTTTAAGTTGTACAGGCAACCTGAACACAAATCACCCCACGAGAGATAGGGTAATCCTGCCTCTCTTGACAGCCGGTGCAACTTGTACCGTACACCGACTGGGTTGCGTTTCTCAAACCGGATGCGAGCTGCGTCAAGTTTACCGAGCCAGGTCTCACGGCCAATGCAATCGATGTTATGAATGAGGGCATACCATCCTTGCACCAAGGCCTTACCGTCTCGACCACAACTGTCATTGTGCCACCGATGTTTGAAAAACGCGTAAGTGAAGAACTCTTCCTTAGCACGAATAGTTTCCGTGCTGGAATTATGAGGACAGATCCTTCTTCAGTCGAACAACGGAATTCGATCCAGTTTATTGGTCTTGCCGGACACTCGATCTTACTATTTGGATGACGGCATCCAAGGAGACTACACTTGAGGAGCGTGGCGCAGGACATTTTGGTCCCTCGCCTCTTGACTGGTGTCAGCCTGAGCACTGACACCAGTGACAGCTTGATCTCTCAAAGTACTTCGCTCGTGGTGATGCTTGGGTGCATCACCACCATCATCACGCGTCCTATCGGCGCATAAACTTGCGCGAGGCGAGGATTCGTCAGATGAATCGCTCTGTCCAAAGATCTTGGACATGATGCCGCCATGTTCCCCAGAGCCAGTCAATCTGGCTCTTGCAGTGTCCGCCCTGGATTATCCGGAGACGTAAGATGTCGCCTTCGAGTCGGATGATGCATCCGACTCGCCAGAATAGATGAGCTCTATTTCAGGCTCATCTACACTGCGGCTCGCAGCACCCGCTGCAGACGCAGCGGATGTATCTGTCGCACGTGGTGACTCACTACGTGGAACATTCACATCACAAGACGTATCAACTAAGGTTACCACCAATTGCTGCTGGACGCGCGTAATGAGTGGCGATAAGGTTGTCGTCATACGACAACATAGATTAATTGTAACGGGGTGAATCGTTACATAACAATTTATAAGAAATTGTTAATAGAATATAACTATAAGAGTTATATTCTCAGAATATTGTCATAAGGACAAATATTCTGTAGCACTTACAGGTAGTTCCCAATTGGTTGATATAGGCCATTATATCAACCAACGAAGACGCGCCATGACAGACGCACGCAATGAGTGGTGAGCAGATAACTGATTTACACATTTGTATTTAGACATAGTTAGATGAAGATAAATAGTGATTTATTGCAGACATTAACTATTATAAATACAGTTCTACTTTTTACTCTAACCAAGTACTCGCTTCTTCTTACCGTCTTCCTCTGCACGTACGAGTGTACGTGAAGTTACGAGGCACCGCCTTATTCTGTTATCAGAATAAGCAGCTTGTACTGTCACCAGTACAAGCTTCAGGGTGCCCCGTTAAACCTGGTAGCACTTCGTAGTCCGTCCAAGGACCGCGTTCACATCCAACATGAACATGTTGGATGATGAAGATGACCAAAGCTTTCACGCTACGCGTGACGGCTACTCCCATTTGAGCGATGTCGAATGGGATGCGGTTGAACGAATGGGTTCGACCATGGGCATCCATGCTGTTAGCGTCATGCTAGAGGCTCTCAATAGAGATGCCCAACATGCTACTATCGCCAAGTTCATTCAAAATGAACTTGACGCAGAACGCGAGAAAGTAGCCTTGCTTCACCAACAAGGTTCTCAACAAGCAGAGTTGTTGAGAGAACAAGGTGCTCAACAGTTTGAACTGTTGAGACAGCAGCAGGCTGCTGCTGGCGGGTCGATGCACTCGCGTCGACCCGAGACTTTGAAGATTGACATCTCAAAGTATAGGGGGTCGAAGAAGACTCCCTCTTGAGATGGTTCGTCGAATTGGATGACGCCATAAGGGCGCGTCGCATCGACGACGGGGATATGCAAGTTGCATTTGCCCAATCAAATCTGGCAGGACGTGCCAAGACTTGGGCACTGGGGCTCAAGTTGCACGACCCATATGCGTTTGGGTCGTTGGAAGTCTTCAAGTCGCGGCTCAGACAAACGTTTGAACCGCCTAGAGCTGAGTTCAGGGCTCGAACCGAACTCTTGAAGCTCAAGCAGGGTAAGCGTGATGTGCACGCTTACGCTCAACATATACGACATCTCACGAGTTGTATAAGTTCCAATCCAGTGGATGAACACACGTTGGTTTCGGTGTTCATGCAGGGTCTTGCGGATGGTCCCGTCAAGACTCACCTGTTCCGGCTTGAACTAGATTCACTAGAACAAGCCATTTCCATTGCGGAGCAGGAAGACTTCAGTCTGATACAGGCTCGCGCCAGCTCGACATCATATCGTCAACCGAGACGATATGACAGCAGAGGTCCAGAGCCGATGGAACTCTGTTATGTAGAGAGCGAGAAGGCTCGCTCTACAGGCTACAAGAAGTTGCAGAGATGCAACAGATGTCAGAAGACAGGATACTACGCTTACGAGTGTAGTGCCCCTCGTCCAGTGTCTCGCGACACTGGGCGTAGTGACCGTCCACCCATGAGAAAGGGGCAGGGACGAGGGTCCGCAGTTGGTGCAAAGACGCAACAACGTGATGGACCGTCAAAAAACGGACAGGATCAGTAGGTGCGGAGCACCCTACTGATCCAGCAACGTCAAGAGAATTTGTAGGCCTCTTGATGAAGGTTGCTCCCAACACACAGACGTTGTGCGTTGCTGCTCTAGGTAATGAGATCTCACTCATTACCTTGAAACTCGAAGTGACGAATAAGTTGTCCCTTCGAGCTCTAGTTGATTGTGGGGCGTCCAACAATTTTGTGCAATGCCAATCGCTAGAAGATGGTCACTTTAAATTCAGTGAATGTGACACACCTCCTACGAGGATGACGGTACGTCTTGCGACAGGCGCATCCGTAACCGTCATGAAGCGTATAGTGAAGATTCACTATACGCTAGAAGATACCCAATATGACGATGACTTTATCGTATTGGATTTGGATGACAAATTTGATGTCATCCTTGGAATACCGTGGCTCAGAAGGTACGAACCACGGGTAAACTGGCAACATCGGACAGTAACGATGCCTGCCGCTTGTTCATCAGATGGCCATCTGATGAACGTTTTGGAGCGTCCACAAGCGTGTGGATGTACTACGAGTGAGTGCGATGGCCTCACTTGTGGTACGGTCGTTAGTACGACTGCACAAAACCTTAGTGTACCAAACGGTTACACTTCGGAGCAAATTTCCGGCGGCTGTGAGGAAACACAGGCTGCGCCGAAGGTCCACCACTCGAATAAGTCGGGTGGACTGGGACAAAGATGTATCCCTAGAGGGGAACATCTAGAAGAGAAACAATCGATCGCTCAGGTTAAGCGAAACGATAATCCTAGATCGACTGGAGAGTCTTTCGTAGAGGATCTCGCTGTGGTTGCGCAACCCCAGCTAGAGGAAGTAAAGGGAATAAGTCCCAAGATTACAAATACGACGGAAATAAGTTCCCCGAAACCCGCGGGAATAAGTCCCCGGGAAGACGAAGGAATAAGTCCTTCGAAGCCTGAGGGAATAAGTCCCCAGGAAATGACAGAGACATTGAATGTCATAGTCAATAACGGATCATGTGTAGGCGCTTATACACTTGATCTGATTGCGCCTCCGAAGTTAACTTCGGAGATCACTCAGTTGCCAACGCTCGAACATAAAAGGTTCTTGCGTGATCTGCGTAGTGGCAAAGTCAAGCAGATCTGCATACTCGTCGCTGACGACGAGTGTGTAACCGACATAAGGTCAGCAACAGTGTTTACTGAGAACGAGAGAGTTCTCAGTAGTTCATCTATGGACGAGAGTGTCCTAGATGAAAAGACACGAATTGAGCGATATGAGTCCCAATCATGGGAATCGCTCAAGGAAAATCCTCTCTATGAGGATTTGGTTGAATTCAAGTATGTATTCCCTGAAACTGTTCCGTGCGAATTACCGAAGGATAAAGGTATTCGACATGAAGTCGAGCTTAAACCAGGCTCGAAGTACTGTGTCATGAAGCAGTGGCCACTGCCTAGTGAACAAGTACTTGCGATCGACAAGTTCTTTGCCGATCGTTTAGCAGCGGGCCATGTGAGGGAATCAACTTCCCCACATAGCTCTCCGACCTTCTGTGTGCGAAAAGCAACAGGAGGGTGGCGGATAGTGCACGCGTTTAACAAATTGAACGCTGCAACGGTACCGGCTCAGACGCCGATACCGAGGAAGGACGTAATCATTGATGGTATGTCAAAGAGTACCATCTTTTCGTCCATGGATTTGATGGATGGCTTCTATCAAATCCTAATGCGGGAACGGGATATACCCTATACCGCAGTTAGCACGCCTAGCGGCATGCTCTGGGAATGGCTAGTAATGCCACAAGGACTCAGTAATGCCCCTGCCACGTTCAACAGGTGTGTATCACATCTGTTGAGGCCAGTACGAGAGTTCGCGCCGAGTTATTTCGATGACGTATTCATCCATAGTCGAGCTATGGATGGAAAGTCGGACGTTGAGGTTCACAGGTACCACGTCCGACAAGTTCTTACAATCATGCGAAAGCATCAATTGTATGCAAACCTCAAGAAGTGTATATTTGCAGCAAGCGAAATACCACTTCTTGGGTGCATCGTTGGTAAGAACGGTGTACGTCCTGATCCCGAAAAGATCAAGGCGATCACCGACTGGCCTGTGCCGGTCGATGTCATAGGTCTTCGAAAATTCCTTGGGCTAGCGGCGTATTTGCATAAGTATTCACGCAATTACGCCGAGATGACTGTACACCTCTCTCGTTTGTTGAAAAAGAACGAGAGGTGGTTATGGAACGCTGAATGTCAACGCTCCTTTGAGGGTATCAAGCAGAGCTTGATACAATCCCCAGTCCTAGCAATAGCCGATCAGGACAGGCCATTTCATGTGGTCTGTGATGCCAGCGATTTCGCAATCGGCTGTGCATTAATGCAGTACGATCTTGAAGGCGTTGAACGCGTCGTCTGCTATCAGTCGCGTCAGCTGCAACCAGCTGAGCGGAACTATCCAGTGCATGACAAGGAACTCCTTGCCATGAAGTATGCACTCGCGAAGTTCAGAGTCTATCTATTAGGAGATAGACCCTTCGTTGTTTACACTGACCATGCGTCCTTACGCACGGCAGTGAACAGCCCGCACCTTTCACAACGAATGGCGCGGTGGTTGTCATTCTTTGCAGAATACAACTTTACGGTTGAGTACAAACCAGGACGACTTAATGTCGTCGCTGATGCACTCTCACGTCGTCCCGACTTTGAAACAGTCGCGAAACCCAACAGTGAGACAGTCACTGTTGCGGTTATGACGTCCTCAGTCCCATCTACAATGCTGTATGATGATGTGAGGCGGGCATACGCCCAAGATGGTGAGATAGTGAAGTTGTTGTCACATCTCTCCCAACCATCCCGATAATCGTTGAAACGATTGTCGCCTGCGTATCGATCTGCATCAGATCGATACACTACTCGTAACGGTTTACTGCATTGTACAACCGTTTCTGGTGACACACCACGTGTTGTCATTCCAGATGATACTGATCTGCGTTTGCGGATCATGTTCGAGTATCACGATGCTCCTATAGGAGGACATCGTGGCCGAGAGAAAACATATCTCACG